CAGGAGCAATTTATTATTCTCTTCTTGATGCTGGGTCTAGCCAATGAGCCCCATTCCCTGCCATAAGCCTGGGCCTGGGTGCGAGTGTGGGACAAAGGTTGTGACATACCTAGGCAGCCACTCGATGCCTCCTAATGCACAGGGATTCGGGTCACTCATCAGTCTGTATGGAGCTGGGTGCCTCCCCCCTCCCCCAAAGGCTGCCCAGAATTTAGGGTGGGAGTGTGAGGAGCCCGAAGCCAAGGTCGCTGTGGGAAAGGATATAAACTGTCCAGGGCCTCCGGTCCCCACTAGGGGACGCTCGAGTGAGATGTGGGAAGAGCAAGGTTATCAGGAAACATCAGGGTTGGGGAAACTGAGGTTAGATACCCTGTTTCTGCCTTCCCCTTGCTCTTTCCCCTGATCCCGGGGGGGTCCTACATCAGAGTTGGGGTGCAAGCTGTGTGGAAGAACTTCCCATGGGGGGGGTTGGGCAGCCCTCTGGATGGATGAGTGTGTGGGCAGCTTCTAGAAGTCCACTGACTAAGACAGCTCATAGCCAGCTGATTCTGTAGCCAGCACTGAAGACTGGACTCACCCAGGAGTCCCGGGTTATTAGGAACTTTGTGCAAGACTGGACCAATGCCCTCACCAAAACTACACTCTTGTCATCCAGGGTCATGTCAAGGGTTCTAAATCCCTGGGCCAAGTGACTGTGCCTCGCCCAGTTAGCATGCTGGGAGCCAGAGGTGCCCTCACTTCCTCCAGCCTTCCTCCCCATGCTTCCCACTGCTGCAGACAAACAGGCCTCAGTCTCGTGTGTGCGTGTGTCTGTAATGAAGACAGCCAGGTCTTGGGAGGCCTGGAGCTGGCAGACGTCTTCTTGGAGCTGGGAGTCCTGCCCAGCCCTGGCCGCTCTGGGGGTTCCTGGGGCCTGTATGCATGTGGTTCTCCTGCTGAGGAGCATGCTCAGGGCCCAGGGGCTAATTGGGAGCAGGTGGTAGGCCTGGCAAATGCTGTTGATCTAGTGGCTGTCTGTGGTGTTGGTTGGGCAGGGCTGGTACCCCAAGGATGTGCCTGAGGTCACTGGAATTCATTGGAGATCAGAAACTCAGGGAAGTGATGGGGCCAGAAGTGGGTACAGTCAGGGTGGGGTAATTGGCTATTAGAGATGTCTCCTTAGTGAGCAGGACAATGTAGCATCTGTCCATTTGTTAAGAGCTTCCGTTGCATAGTAAGTTGAAGCTAGCCTAGGCTACATGAGCCCTGGTCTTTGCAAAACCCAAGTCAGCCCTGGAACCTGCATTAAAGCCTTCACCCTCACCCAAGCAGGGACTGCAGATGTCCCCACCTCCAGATACCTGGCTGGCTGTCTGTCCCCGGCAGACTGAACTCTGGGACAGAAATGTTTTCTGCCATCCTGGGCTAGCTGGCATGCAACTAGCTCTGCCTTCCTCCCCATCTAGCTGTCCTAGACACCACCACAGCCTCATCACTCCATGGCCATGAGAGCCACCTGCCTCTTCCTGCTGGTCCTGCCTGGTAAGCAGCTGCTGGGGCGGGGACCCCGTGTGGGACTGTCTTAGCTCATGGCTGAGACAGTAGAGGAGACTGAAGGCTGGGAGTCCCGGCACTGGTGCTAGAGCTACAGGGCTCTATCGTTCTGTACAGTCTTGGCCTTTGAGAGGTACTTATCTATCACATAAGGAGATATCAGTGAGGACTGCAAAGGTCCTAGGAGTTCCTCATCCTGGGAGTCACTCATCCATTCACTGAACATGTCTAGGCCAACATCTACTGTAAGCGAAGTACCGGAGATAAAGCTGTGAATTAGGCAGACACACCCGGCCTCCACCATGTGGCCAGGCCAGGGAAGAGGCACATATTGGACAAGTAGACCTGGTAAATTTCAGATCGTGTTGAGTGCTGATAGGAATTCACAGCGGGGAAGGTGGGTCAGGATAGCCCAGCAGAGCTGAAATGTTAGTTGAGACCTGCAGAAGGCTGGGGAGAGTGGGAAGGCTCCAAGGCGGGCTGGAATGTGAGAATTCCTGGAGCAGCCTCAAGGCCACCCAGGGCAGAGGGGCTAGGCATGGGCAGGGAACAGACCCAGGACCCAGTTTGGATTTTGTTGAATCTGGTCCTGGTTGTAGGTCCCTGGCTTAGGACTGCCCTTCCTCTATGGGATGTCCACACCTGACTCCTCCTTCCCCTCAGCAGGCCTGCTGGCTCAGGGCCAATATGACCTGGATCCTCTGCCCCCATTCCCAGACCATGTCCAGTACAACCACTACGGTGACCAGATTGGTAAGCCAGCCCTCGAAGTGCCCTCAGTGCTGCCCACCCCATACACATGGATCAGCCAGGCACCCATTTCGGTGGGGTGGTAGGCATCCCAGGGGTAGGTAGGTCCCAGGCCATTTGTGACCTCTTTGCCCCACTCTCCTGGGACCAAGGGCTAGCCTGACTCCACCCTGATGTTCCCTTCTCACTTTCAGACAATGTAGACAACTACTATGACTACCAAGGTAAAAGTCTGGGGTAGGATGGGCGGGGCCAGCAACCTGGTGTGGGTCTGTGGGGAAAGTGAGCCAATGCTTTGTCACACACACCCCCACCCCACCCTCGCTCCCTACTGCTGCAGAAGTGAGTCCTCGACCTCCTGAGGAACAGTTCCAGTCCCAGCAACAAGTCCCACAGGAAGTCATCCCAGCCCCCACCCCAGGTAATGCTGTCTCCCTTGACCCAGCTCCTTGTGTACCTCAGGATGGGGGTGTGGGTCGGCCCGGAGACAGGTGCCCCTGGCCCAGAATACCCCTCCAGTGACCCCTAGCTGTCTTCCCACACCAGAACTGCCCATTCCAGGGGACCTGGAGACTGAACCCACGGAACCCGGGCCTCTTGGTAAGAACCTCCTGGAAGTTGGAGAAAATCAGCATGGCTTCAGAAGAGAGGGCCTTTTGGTGGGATATGCAAGGTTAAGCATCGGTGGTGGGATGCTGGCCGAGGGAGCTGACAGACATGTCCCTGGTTAGCTGCTGCCCCTACTGAGGTGCCTAGGGAGGGGCCAGCATTGTGCTGGGCCACAGTCTGGACTGAGGGGTGCCCATGGCCAGGAGAAGAGGGACCAGCAAGCCCAGTCCAGCTGAGTGCCTGAAAGGAGGGCCCTGGAGAAGCCCAGCCTGAGTGCATTACATAGTACTTACATAGTGGTTGGTTACCTAGTGGGTTACAGAGCAGCTTGTGAGCTAGTGTGATGTCCCAGTGACCAAGTGGGGTAGCTGTGAGTTTGTATTCCAATTTGTTTCCAAATGGGTTGGGACTGTATGTGTGGCATAAAGTCAGGCAGTCCTGTGCTACCTGGGTGCTGGGTTTGTGTGGGTATTTGGGCAGGGCTTGAGGGTGCTTAGGAATCCAGACTTTGTGAGCCTGACACTGGAGCTCTGAGCCTCTAGTCTGACCCCTCCTGTCCCTAGACTGCCGCGAGGAGCAGTATCCATGCACTCGTCTCTACTCTATCCACAAGCCTTGTAAACAGTGTCTCAATGAGGTCTGCTTCTACAGGTGAGGGCTACAAGGGAGGGACTCCAGGGGCAGCTCCCACGAGGGAGGGACTCCAGGGGCAGCTCCCACGAGGGAGGGACTCCAGGGGCAGCTCCCACGAGGGAGGGACTCCAGGGGCAGCTCCCACGAGGGAGGGACTCCAGGGGCAGCTCCCACCAGGGAAGGTGTGAGTTGGGACAGGCACTGAAGAGTGTGGGCCTGGGCCTGGACTCTTGGGCTCTCCCAATGGGAGTAGGTGAGGGTGTGGCTGAAGAGTGCCCCTGGCTCACCCTCCAGCCTTCGCCGGGTGTATGTCGTCAACAAGGAAATATGTGTCCGCACTGTCTGTGCCCATGAGGAACTCCTCCGAGGTAGGAAACCCTCCACCCCTTGTCCTGGCAGCATCCACCACCCACTCCGTTACCTTCCCATGTGCCACCTGCAAGGTTTGGCATGGGCTCTGTGTGCAGGCCCACTTGTAGGATGCTGCAAGCCCCCTGCCTCCATCCTCACTAGTATGGGGTGGCGGGTTCCCACCTGACTTCCCCTCCCTCCAACAGCTGACCTGTGCCGGGACAAGTTCTCCAAGTGTGGCGTGATGGCCGTCAGTGGCCTGTGCCAATCTGTGGCTGCCTCCTGTGCCAGGAGCTGTGGGGGCTGCTAGGGTGGAGCTGGTGTGGGATCTGAGCCGGACCCAGCTCGGATCCACCTCAGGCCCCGCCTGACCTGGTGCTTTCTCCCATCCTGCCCTCCCTTTCATCCTGGATATCAGGGGGCTGCTGCCCTGGGCAGTGAGGTCACAGCTGCCTGGGCCCCTCCCCAGCCTGTGGCCATCCCTGAGCAGTTGGGGCTCCTGACTGTCCAGTCTCCAACCCCTAGATGGGGTTCATCCAAGTCCTCTTGTGGGGGTCTGGGGCTCTCAATGTGCCTTGTCAGTGCCTTGGGGGCATCTCTCCCTTCTCAGTCTCCTCAGGTAGGCTGTGCCCCTCCCCCAGCTGGTCTGCTTGGGTTTCCTATGCCCCCAGGCATGGGCCACTTTTCTTTTATACAAAATAATAAAGTTTTTACAATAGAGGCAGAGTCACTTTTGGGGCCAGGGACAACTCAAAGTGCCACCAGTAACACTGCTGGTCTCCAACAGAAGGCCACTCAGCTCCATAGCAGGGGGTGTCAGGTGGTTCTATTTCCATGTCCCACCCTACCTACTCCAGCCCTAGCTTCACCTGTAACCCACCAGAGGAAGGGCCGACACTCCCAAGATGCAACTCTTCAGAAACAGGCAGGTCATTTTGGTTCCTCTGCGGGAACAGCATGGAGGAGGGCTGTGAGTGCTCCCCATGCCGTCCTGGTTAATTCTTACATAGCGGGTAAAATCACTGTCCTCAAATGACAGTGTTAAGTGATCACCAGACATCCACAGCCTGTGCTCCTCTGGGCCCATCAACCCCCAGGTAGAGGATGTGTGTGTGCACAGACAATTCTAGAAAGCAGGTCATGTTACAAAAAGCACAACAGTTCTCCACAGTTAACAGTATAAAAAGGTACAAAAATACAAGGGCTCTAAGCTCACTAAGAGCTGCTGACACAAGGGGCCAAGGGAGAGCTAGCTCCCTGGTGCTGCGCTGGCTCGGGCATTCCTTCCTGGGGAAGCCCTGCTCTGCTGCTGGCAGAAACAAGTGCTCTCCCTCACCCCTGCCTGGCTCAGCCTCGAAGAGCCTTGGCCGGCAGAGGGTCTTCTAGAAGGGCCTGGAGTGGTATAGGCAGTGTAGCAACTTTGACAAGCCACATGGGTGTGACTACAGCCACAGTGCCACGCTCACCTGTCACCCCAGCTTCCTCCTCCCACTCTGATGTGGCCCTGGGCAGTCTATGTCACTAAGGGGCCCCTCTCCTGCCAAGATGACTGTGCTCAGGACGCTGGCTGGAAGGGACTCATTGCTCTGGAGTACCAGAGGGTGGGGAGGCAGGTGCTGAGCTCCTCCGAAGCTCCTTCTGCAGCTGTGCCTTCAGTGTGGCCACCTGGAGAAGAGAAGGGCCCAAAGCCGGGGCCACAGCTGACTTCAGAGGACAGGAGCTGATGGGGGAGGCTGCCTAAGAGTGGGAGAACCTTCACTTCTCATTTTGCCCCGCATGGCGGTTAGGTGTCTGTATGCTTTGGCATCCTTATCCCTTCAGAGGCTCAGCCATGTGAAGCAGCTCTGCCCAGCATCACTCCACAGAGCAAGGCCCTGTGTCCTCCCAGCCCTGCCCGGTTACTGTCTGTGAGCCCTGGCACTACCCAGAGGGAACCCTGTCCCAAGGAGGGAGTGCCAGAGAGGCGCAGAAGACCTGGCCTGTCCAGCCAGCAGGGTCACAAGTGACCTCACTGGCCAGGAAGAGCCATTTCTTGGGCTCTTACTAGTATTCCTGGGATAGAGCCCCCTCTCCACTGGGATCCCAGGTTGCTAGGAGAGCCTATAGTTTGAGCTGCTAAGGGAACCATGCCATGTGGGAAGAGGGTCTGATGGCTTGAGGCAGAGGGTGAGCCCTAGGCCAGGAGACACTGAGGCCAGGCAGTATCACTCCAGCCATGGCTGGCACCAGCACTGATCTGCTTGGCCCTTTTCAAGTTATGGGGTCATGACCCATCCTCTCCTCCAGCCCCACACTTCCACTCCGGCTCCATCTTCTCCCAGGGGTGCCCTTGTACCTGCTCCTCCAGTCCCGACACTCGCTGGCGGTGGGCCCGCTCCCTTGCCTCCAGCGTGCGCTCCGTCTGCACCTGGGCACTGCGCAGGCGCTCAACCTCCTGCTGTAGCTCCAGGTGCTGCTCATCTGCCTCCAGCTGGACTGGATTGTGGTTCTGCTCCAAGGCTACCACCTGTGCCTACAGACAGGGCTGCCGATCAGGGTTCTAACCTACGTGCACACAGTGGCACGGGCTTATCCCTTATTGGCCCTAACCGTGTATCTTCCAATCCTGGGCCAGGGGCCCCAGTGAAGTCCACTCAGACAGACATGCACATACAAAAACATTCAAACACAGGGCCTGGCCTACATACACACAAGAACAAAAGCGAGCATATTTGTACAGAAGCACACAGGGGCACATAAGCATAGTAAGTAGCTTAACATCTTCATGTATGAAAACATTTACATGTACTTAGGCCACAGGCTACACGAGGCTCATGCTGTTCCCATGAGCAAGCTCCCACAGACACTCAGGCTTCCGTACATCCACAGCACACAGGAATCTTAGGCTTGAACACCAATGAGACTCAGTGTTTCTCTCCACCATGGGAAGAACCCTGCCCTACAGCCCAATGAGTACACCCTCCCAAAGGCTCTGGGCTTCCATGCTGGCTCAGCCATAGGTGCCCCCTGGAATTTCTTGGGCTCGGTATGGGAATGACATTGGGGACCAGGCTGGGGGAGGGCCAGGGCTGACCTCCAACTGCTGGATCTGCTGTTGGGCCTCAGCCAGGTCCAGCTCAGCCCCTGTGAGTGTGCGGTCCAGGCGGCCCTTCTCGGCGTTCAACCTCAGTGTGTCCTCATGGCTTCGAAGTTTCTCCCGCTCCACCTGGGTAGATATGGGGGGAAGGTCACGGGGGAGGGGGGACTCGCTGCAGAAGCCCCTGCAGTATACTCTGGCATCATAAGCAGCACACTAAAGAGACACAGGGAAGCTAGGGAGGGCCCAGCAGAGCAGGCCACCTTATCCAGTGTCTTCCTGAGTGCCACGCGGTCCTTGTCGAGCCGCAGTGCTGACCGTTCTGCCTCACGTTTCTCAGCTTCCAGCTGAGCCAGGGCTCGCTGCAGACTGCCCAGGCGCTCCTGCAACAGTCGCCGCTCTTCCTGGAGCTTCTGGACAGAGCGCAGAGCCATGGCCTCGCCTTCCTGCCGCTGTCGCAGTACCTGCAGCCCAAGGCAACAGTCCCTCATCCCACTGCACCTAGGTTGACCATCTGAAACTTGGGGACAAAGACGCTGGCCCACTGTGCCCACTCGCACAGCAGGCAACCCCAAGGCCCACGTGAGGAAACAGCTGAGGCCAAACGATTCTCTCTGGGGTATAATGGGAGTGTGGGTCAGATGATCCATGGCTCTATGATCCAGGTGGGTCCCCACCCCATGCCCAGGACCACACGGGGCACCCTATAGAAGAGGCCCTCCAGGCCTCACCTGCTGCAGCTGCTGCAGCTGGCCTTCAGCATCACCCCGCTGCAGCTCCACATTGGCTAGCTCGCCCCGCAAGGTCTGCACCTGCTCACCCAGGGAGCTGCTTTGCCTCCGTGCTTCAGACAGTGCCTGTCTGGCAGCATCCAGCCGTTCCTGGGGGACAGAGGCTGATGGTGCCAAGCCAGACTGCCAGCCTCAGCAAAAGGTTTTCCCTTTGGGTGAAACGCCTAACTGATCCTGCCTGTGCCAGTCCTGTCCACTGACCTGTGCTGATGGTGACAGTCACTCATATCCCAAACTGCACCTAAGTTCCATACTAACAGGTTGCTTCTCTCACTGGGCAGCCTCCCCCTCTAAGCCTCTTGATTGGCTACTTCTGTTGACCCCACTCCTACCTCAAGGCCTATTCTCTGACTCCCCGGATTTCCTGATGGACAGCCCCATTGGCCATCAGCTCCCTCCACACCTGCTCTTAAAGGCTAACTCTCACTGAACTCCTTCCTGACAGAAGAGAGATATTTGCCAGACCCTGGAGCCCTCCCCGACCCCAGACCTGGAGCACTTGGCGGTCATGTTCACAAGTACTCAAGGCCTTCTGCAGGTGCAGATTCTTGTCCTGGGTGCTGGTGAGGCTGGCACTGCTCTGGGCCAGGGCGTCTGTCAGGCTCTGCACCTTGCTCCGCAGGGTCCCCTCGCTCTCCTCCACCTTGGCCAGTGCCCCATTCAGCCGTTCCACTGTTAGCTGCAAGGTCCCTGCCTTCACCTCACTGTCTGCCACCTGGCAGGGAGACAGAGCACGGTTCAGGGTTCCCTTCCCATTGTGATCATCACCAGGAGTGCTAACCCACGTTCCTCTCACCTCTCTCTGGGCCTCATCCGTATCCCCATTGGCTTGTTGCCTCACTGGCTCAGCCTACTGCAGTCTGACCTAACCCCACTGTGGGTTAACCACCCTGTCCAGAGCCCCATCCACCTAGCTATGTGACAGGCAAAACATGGCCTCTCTGGGCCTCCACCCGTCCACCTTTGAACCCTGATAGTGAAGACTTGCACAATGCCTGGACAGAGCCTGGCACAGGGCATGCAGGTGTGACCAGGAGGGAGGGGGCCCACCTGTCTCTGTAGGGAGTCCACCCGATCCTGGAGGGCCTGAGCGTGGGCTTCACGGTCCCCCAGGCCCAGGCGGCTGCGTTGCAGCTCGCCTTCAAGTGCACGCCGCTGCAGCTCAAGCTTGATGGAGCGACTCTCAGAGGCATCCAGCACCTCCTTCAGCCGCCGCTTGTCGCTCTCCAGCTTTGCCTCGGTGGCCTTCATCTTGCTGACTTTCTCCTGTGGGTAGCGAGGCTCAACCCCAATGCCTGCCCACCCCTCCCCACACCTCTCTGCACCACGGGGACAAAGCAGGGTCAGCCCCAAGGACTGTGTGACCTGGAACCAGCCTATGACTGCTGGGGCCTGGGTTTCTCCATTTGTCACAAACTGAGCAGATGTGAGGCTCCCAGAGCTGTCTTGTTCAAGCTGAATCTAAATGTGTTACGTGAGCCACGATACACTTTCTCCACTCTGTTTCATGTCTGGACCGTACCAGGAGGACTGGTCCAGAGGCGCTACCACTTGGGGACTCATCCGATCCCTGGGGAGGGGGCTGCAGAACGTAGACACTGGACCCTTCCCTGCTCTACAGAAGGACTTTCCAGAAATGGCTGGAAGCACAAATGAAACCTGAGCTGAAGCTGGCAGCTGCTGCTGAGGAGCAGGGCGCAGCTCACTGTTCTAATGGCTGATTCTCCCTCCCCTGCTCAGGGCTCAGACAATGAAGGGGTTTGCAGAGCGGACACAGGGCAGGAAGAACTTAGGACCATTCGATGCACATGGGTGCCCCAGGGTCAGTGGGTCCTGGGTGTCTCTAAAGCCTCCCTGCTTCATGCTTCTTCAAGCCCCTCTCTGCCCTGTCTGGCCTGTAGGGAAGAGGGGGCCCCGCTCTGGCTCCCACCCAGCTTTGTTCCTGGCTTCCTCCCAGGCCCCAGGGGCTGCTGGGCCCAAAGCCAGAGCTGAAGCTGCAGACACAACAATCCAGCTCCAGCTTGGTCCCAGCCAGAGGTAGGGTGGGGTAAGGGGCAGCTGGAGAGCGGGCAGGGGGCTTCAGCTGAGAAGCCAGACTGTCATCACTCAAGGCCTGGGCTTCCTGTCCAGACACACAGACACTAGAAGCCTACACACCAAACACTGTACTGCCATTCATGCAGATATTTAGAGATCGAGGTTCCACTCAAAACTTATGGGTACTGCCTCTGTGTTGCAATTGCAGGGGACATCCCACCCAAAGGGTGACAGCTAGACAGCAGGCTGATCCAGGCTACATCTGGACCGTTCTGTCTGACTCAGGCCCAAGCCCTTCTCCCTGAAGTACAGGAACACCCAACAGTGGACTAAAATTTACTCAGTGGAAAGAGCCTCACGCCATCCCTATAGGCCGTGACTCGGGCAGAGCACTACAGAGAACCCTGGGCCCTGCTCCCATGGGCCCTCCCCTCCTGCCCACCTGGCTGGCCCGGAGCTCGCTCTCGGTGGCCTGCAGGCTCCTCTCCAGCACTGCCATCTGGTCCAGTGTGGCCCTGCATTCCCGCTTGCTACGTCGCACGCTCTCTTCCTGCAGCGCCAGCTCTGCCTGGGCCCCGCTCAGCCGCCTGTCTGCACTGCGCCAGGCTGCGGTTGCCACCACCCAGTACCATCAGTGTCATGCCAAACCCAGCCCCTGGACCAGGCCACAAAGCTCTGACCTGTCCCCCCCCCCTCCAAGCCCTACCTGGACCACAGAGGGTCTGTAGGTTTGTGCCCCTTGGGGTTGCCCAGGGACGGTCTCCTGGAGGAACCAGCCCAGACTGGACATAAGAGCCACTGACACCAACTAGCTAGCCTCCCACCTCAGCTGCTAGGAGCATAAGAGGGCAGAGGGGCCCTGATGGAAGACTCACCTTCCTCGCTCTCAGCTACTGCCTTCTGCAGCTGCCTGGCCCTTGAGGTTGCACGGTCTCTCTCTGCTTCCGTCTCAGCCAGCTGTTGACTGAGGGTGCTGGTCTGGACCTTAAGTTCATCCTGTAGCCCCAACAGAGGAAGGGAGAAGACCCTGCTCTGACCACCACAGCTCCTTTGCTCCTAGGCTTGCCCTAGGTTCCCCTCCCAGCCATCTCCAGCATCCTCACCCGCTCCCTCTGGGTACTCCGAAGCTCTTGCAGAAAGTCTCGGAGAGCATCCCGCACCAACTCTGGGTCCAAGTCTGGAGGTGCTGGGGAGGCAATGGGCCCTGGAGATGGCGGCTGGGACTGAGGGCTGCATTCCAAAGGACTGGGACTGCTAAGACCATCCCCACTTCCTGGAAGGGAAGATATAGTCAGGCACACGGCAGCCACTGGGTGCTGGATGTAGGCTCTCAAGGTACCACGTTACAGTACCCATTCGCACACAATGCCAGGTTAGCTTCTTGCCTAAAACCCTCTGCCACATCTACCCATGTTCCTCAATCAAGCCCAACTTCTTTATTTTTTTAAGGTTTTTCGAGACAGGGTTTCTCTGCGTAGCCTTGGATGTCCTGGAACTCATTCTGTAGAAACAGGCTGGTCTCGAACTCACAGAGATCCGCCCGCCTCTGCCTCCCAAGTGCTGGGATTAAAGGTGTGTGCTACCACAACTGGCTTTTATTTATTGAGATAGGGTCTCTCTATTATGTAGTTCTGGCAGTTCTAGAATTCACTATGTAGACCAAGCTGACCTCAAACTCATAAGAGATCTGCCTCCCCATTGCTGGGATTAAAGGCATGTGCCAACACACCCCTGGCTTATTTTTATTTTATGTGTTTTGCTATGCATGTGTGTTATCACAAGTGTGCCTGTGCCCATGAAGCCAGGAGAAGGCATTAGACCCCCGGGAACTAGAGTCAAGGGCAATTGTGAGCTGCCATCTGAGTTCTGAAAACAGAATTCAGGCCCTCTACATCTTTCCCTCCCTGCTTTCCCACACCCCTGGGACACACTGGTCCCACCATCAGCCCTACCTCCTTTGCATTTATGTTTTGCTTTTTTGTTTTTGACAAAAATACACATTATTTGAAATGTAAATTTGGAAAGTGATCTTGGTTTACTTCTGGCCCTGGAGGTACAATGGATGCCCAGGGCCTTGGGCATGCTAGAGAAGTGCCCTGCCCCTGAGACCCACAAACCCCTCCTTTTTTGAAATGAGCGAGGCTCACTATGTAGCACAGGTTAGACCTGACTCACAATCTTCCTGCCTCAGTCTCCTGAGTATGAGCATTGCAGGTATGCACAACCACGTCCAATTTTATGCAGTGCTGGGGATCAAACTCAGGCCTCCCAACTGAGCTCAGTACCAACTGAGCTATGTCCCCACCAACCTTAACCCTTTTAAGGATATGATCTGGAGGCACGAATTATATTCATGCTATTATACACTGGTCACCTCAAATATTTTTCATCAGTCCTGTATCTCCCCAAATCTCTCAGGTTGAATGTGACTTTATTTGGAAACAGGTGGCTGTCACACTGGGATGGTGGACCCCAACCCTACTATTTCGATATTTATAAAAAAAAAAAAAGGGGGGGGTTCAGATGCCATGTGACCGCTAGAGTTGTGTTGCCATGTACACATCCCACCCAGTACCTTCAGAGGGGCTACGGCCCTCAGATTTCTAGCCTTTGAGACAGTCAAACACACATTTCTGCTTATGTGTGACAGCTGGCCCTAAGGGGTCTTTCAGATGCATCAAATGCATAGGAAAATATGGTGGCACATGACTGTATGCCATAATTTGGGACACCGAGATAGGAAGACACTGAGGCAGGAGTACAAGGCCAGCTTAGGCTATATAGTAAGTTCCAGGACAGTCTAAAGTGAGACTCTGTCTAAAAACTTGAAGCAAACAATGTGATTGCTGAACCTGTGCCGAGTGTGTGCAGCCTTCCTGTCAGTATTCTCCAAGGGGAACAATTCACATGATTTGTATGTGTGTTAGCTAGCATGGTGCTCCAGAGACTGAGGGTACCAAGGTGTGTGCAGTTTACACAAACACTCAATTTCACAGAGTAGCCACAGGCATCCTTGGATCTGGGGAGACAGGGAGTCTAGGAAAATCCATGGCTACTGTAGTCACGGTTCCTTCATAGAGCCTTCCTGGTCAAGGAAGATAACTAGACAGAAACTTATTTTGAAGTAGCTCTCACTGCCTTCTGCCTAGATCTGGGCAATCTTGGACCTCCTTGCCGAGTCTATGGACTTCTCTGTGCTGGAACTCATTGATGCTTGTCTTCCAATGACTGCCTCACCCGATGAGTGCAATGTTTCAGGGCTGACCTGCATTGTGGCATGTGTAAACATGTCATTCCTTCTAATGGCTGAGTACTATTCCACAGGATGGATATACCATATTTTTGCTTATCTAGTCATGTCAATGGATGCTTGGAATGTCACTGCCATTTGGCTATTATGAACAACGCTGCCATAGACTTTGTTATAGAACTGTCTTCCACATGCTGTATACCGAGGAGTAGGAATGCTGGGTCTCCTGTCATTAACATTTCTATTTTCATTTTTTGAGGAACTGCCAAGCTATTTCCCACAGCAGCTGCGCCGGCCAGCAGACTCTCCCTCCCTTTATTTCTGCTGGCCTACTGTCCCTAGACCACAGGCCAAGATATTCTCTACTCCCTGCACACAGCTCTTCCCATGGCTAGACTCTAAGCTTCCTAAGAGCCCCGTTTACCTACCTGCTTCCTGCAGGTCACTCACTCTATTCCTGATGTGTGCTGGCACACTAGGTACTTGGTCAGTACCTACTGAGTATGCAAGTGGATCAGTGCTACTCTGGAAGGTCAGGCCTGGCTGTGTCCACCTAGAGGGTCATTTTGGGATCCCAGGCCTGGTGTGGAGGGATGTGGAGCTGAGATGTCAGGCTGGAGACTTATTAAGAAGATGTGGTGTGCCTGGTGGTGGTGGCACACATCTTTAATCCCAGCACTCAGGAGGCTGAGTGGGGGATCTCTGTGAGTTCAAGGCTAGCCTAGTCTACAGAGAGTTCCAGGACAGCCAGAGGCGTTACACAGAGAAATCCTGTCTCAAAAACAAACAAAAATAAAGAAAGAAGGAGGAGGCAGGAGGAGGAAGGGAAGGGGGAGGAAGAAGAGGGGGAGAGGGAAGAGGAGGAGAGGGAAGAGGAGGAAGAGGAGAAGGAGGCAGCTAGAGGACTCCAGGCTGGAGAGATGGTTCAGTAGTTCAGAGCAGCTGTTACTCCTGCAAAGGACCTGGGTTTGATTCCCAGCATCCACATGGCAGTTCACCACCATCTAGAACTCCTACTTCAGGGACCTGCTGCCCTCTGCTGGCCTCTCCCAGCACTAGGCATGCACATGATGCACATACTGATATCCAGATACTCTCACAAATACACAAAATAAAACAAAAAAGATGGGGTTCAAAGATTCAGAAAAGGCAAAGGGACCATTAATATCCCTCCTTAACAATGATCCCCAAAAGCCCAGGACAGCCAAGGGGCTTGGCCCCCTCCTAGGGGTGTGGCTTCAGAGAGCCCTCCACAGCTCTGTGCTGCACTCACCTCCCGCGGGTGCCTCCCGCGCTGGGGAGCTGGACAGCCGCACTGGGGAGCTGGACACACGGCCCAGACCCAGGCCCCGGCGCAGGGCTGAGCGCAGGCCACCCAGCTGGGCCTCGGCCACCCTCCGCTGCGCCTCCACGCGGGCCAGCTCAGCCTCCAAGCCCTGCGCCCGGCCCTCCGTCGCACTCAGCCGCAGCCCCAGCTCTGAGGTCTCAGCCCGAACGGCCTCCAGCCTCAGCTCCAGGCCCCGGGCCACCTCCAGCTGCTTCTTCTCAGTGCCACGCGCCTCCTCCAGGGAGCCCAGCAGACCTCGCTCACGTGTCCGGAACTCGGCCTCTTGCTCCTGCAGTTTCCTCTGGGATCCTTGGAGCTGGAGCGGAGGTGAAGACAGGAGACAGTCACAAGGCTGCCCCCAGCCCCCACCTGGTGACCATCACTCCAGGAACCACACCTGTGCCTTTAGTGGTTTATGTGTAATGTGTAGTTGGTCATGACAGTAACGTTCACATAGTCCAGGCAGTATGTTCCCAAAGAACCCAGAGCCACTCTAAGTCCTTTCCCTGATGATGAAACACGGGACAGGCACAGAGAAGTTAAGAGATTTGTCCAAGGCCACACAGGGAGAGGCCATCCATTACAGACTTCCAACTCACAGAAAACTGCCCTCTGGTGAAGACAAGGGGCCTACCTCTCAGCCATCAGTTCAACAGGAAAGCCCCCTCTCAGACACAGGACCTGCATTGCCCCCTCTCAGACACAGGACCTGCACTGCCCCCCCAGACACAGGACCTGCACTGCCCCCCCAGACACAGGACCTGCACTGCCCCCCCAGACACAGGACCTGCACTGCCCCCTCTCAGACACAGGACCTGCACTGCCCCCCCAGACACAGGACCTGCACTGCCCCCTCTCAGACACAGGACCTGCACTGCCCCCCCAGACACAGGACCTGCACTGCCCCCTCTCAGACACAGGAACTGCACTGCCCCCCCCAGACACAGGACCTGCACTGCCCCCTCTCAGACACAGGAACTGCACTGCCCCCCCAGACACAGGACCTGCACTGCCCCCCCAGACACAGGACCTGCACTGCCCCCTCTCAGACACAGGACCTGCACTGCCCCCCCCAGACACAGGACCTGCACTGCCCCCTCTCAGACACAGGACCTGCACTGCCCCCCCCCAGACACAGGACCTGCACTGCCCCCTCTCAGACACAGGAACTGCACTGCCCCCCAGACACAGGACCTGCACTGCCCCCTCTCAGACACAGGACCTGCACTGCCCCCCCCAGACACAGAACCTGCACTGCCCCCTCTCAGACACAGGACCTGCACTGCCCCCCCAGACACAGGACCTGCACTGCCCCCCAGACACAGAACCTGCACTGCCCCCTCTCAGACACAGGACCTGCACTGCCCCCCCAGACACAGGACCTGCACTGCCCCCCCAGACACAGGACCTGCACTGCCCCCCCAGACACAGGACCTGCACTGCCCCCCCAGACACAGGACCTGCACTGCCCCCCCAGACACAGGACCTGCACTGCCCCCCCAGACACAGGACCTGCACAGCCCCACCTCTCAGCCCATCTTCCCTGAGTGTAGGTGAGCATTCTGAAGCATAGACAGTATCTAAGTCACACAGTAGACTAGTGGCTATGTGACATTGGGCAGGCGTCTTGACCTTTCTGGGCCCGCCTGTTTCTCCTAGTAAAATGGGGTTTACATCACTGACCTCATGAGCAGGCTGTGGGAAAATCAAGCGTGGCTATCTTCAGAGCCTCTCTATGATCTTTTGGTATCTGCACACACTAGACCTACAGTTTCTTTTGCTTGTCAGTATTAATACAACCGAAGGAGAGCCCCAGAGGTGGTGGATTCAGCCCGCCCCTCTGGAGGGAAGACCCTGGCTTACAGTAGCCCACCCTCCTCTGGCCAGCCCACCCACCTACCCAGTTACCTCCTGCTTCAAGGCCTCGAGGCTGCTCTCGGCTTTTAGTAACTTCTGCCGCAGGCCCAGCGCCTCTCGCCGGCTCTCCTTCTCTGCCCGCTCACCCAGGGCCAAGCGGCCCTGCAGGTCTGCCAGCTCCCGGCCCAGCCTGACATTGTCACTGTCCAGCATCTTCATCTGTGAACCAGAAGAGGCAGGAAGGTCAGCTGGGCCCTACAGTTTTGCCCAGTCCTGGCCCAGGAGGCTCTTGGGATGGACTGACCTAGGGTGCAAATATCAACTTAGTACTCCAAGTCCATGGGGAGCCTGCCCTGGTGAACTCACTGAAATCAGGTCATGCCAAGCACGTGGCCCAATGCCACTTACTGGGGGTGGGGGGACAGCAGGAAAGAGGCTGAGTTGACATCTAACCAACTTAGCAACCACAGCTGGGAACCAGAGGGCACACAGAGTGCATCTTGTGTGCCCAACTGTTATAAGCATTTACATCAATTGAATTAATCTTCCTGTGTCCCTGTATGTTTAACCCTGACTTAATGGATGAGAAAACAAGCCAGAGCATTGAATGGCTCGCCTATGACACCCACAAGCAGCAGACTGGGATATGGTCCCAGGCCAGGGGAACATTCTAAGCCTGTTTCCACCCAAGAGCAGGTGGGTGAGGACCACCCACCTCACAGGATGATAGCAGCAAGGCTGACTGATCAGAAAATTTCAGCATGCCCCAGCAGAACCTAGCACATGACACCAGGCTTGGCTGCTGACTTGAGGGGCCTGGGGGAGGGGCTGAGGTGAAAGGGCATTATTTTCAGGGATGCCACCCATCTTGGAGCATCGGTCTCTGGTTATCACAAGGTATCTCAGCTGAGGAGGACACTGGATGTCTCCTGTCCCTTGGGCATTTCAGAGTGGGAACGCCTGAACCTTCCAGAGAGTGGGCGGTGCCCGGCATGTAGCAGGTGCTTGACCAGTGCTTGCTGGTGATGGGGTGATGATCTTGTCAGAGGTCAGCACACCACAGTCTGCAGACAATTCAGCCATTTCCTGTTTTTACTAAGGCAGGGGCAGCTCCTTCATTTTCAAACAGTAGAAAATGGCTTAAAACCAAAACACGAGGAAACAAAACCACAGAGAAAAACAGTATTTCCTAACACATGATAATTATACCATGTTCAAATCTGTGTTCACAACGGTTGACTGGAACACACCCCCATGTGTTCATATTTCATGCAGAGGATGTGTGTGCTGTGTATATCTCCCATCCTGCACTGGAGATCAAACACAAGCTTTGGGCATGTTGGGCAAGCACTCTGCCACTGAGCTACACCCCAACCTCTCATGGATATTTTCCTTTTTTAAAAAAAGTTTATACCAGGTGGTATACAAAGCGAGTTCCAGGACAGCCAAGGCTGTTATGCAGAGAAACCCTGTCTTGAGAAAAAAAACAAAACTTTTTTTACTTATTTATTTTTACGTATATGAGTGTTTTGCCCTATATGCCTGTTTGTGCTTCACATTTGCCTGGGGAGGCCAGAAGAGGGCACTGGCTGCCCTGGGACTAGATATAGACAGTTATGAGCTGTGATGTAGGTGTTGGGAATCAAACCCAGGTCTTCTGGAAAAGCAGCCAGTGCTCTTAACTGCTGAGCCCTCTCCATTACCTACTTTTATCTCCTGGCAGTACTAGGCAGTGAGTTATAATGATTTACAGCCTTGCTGTTTAGGGCCTCAGTAAGATTGATCTTGAACAGGCCTTGCAGCCCAGGCAGGCCTTAAACCTGTGACCCTCTGGCCTCAGTCTCCTCAGTAGCTTATATTACAAGCCCATATCACCATGCCCAGGTTATGGCTACTTTTTCACAACAGTAAAGGGGTGGAGGCAGAGCCTTGTGGCCTGTCAAAGTGGAAGTTTGCGGCTCTCAGTTCAGTAGTTTGCTGGCCTAACCTGGTTCCCTGTGTGTGCACAGTTCTTAGGTAGAGGGCCCCTGAGAGCCCATCAGCTCTACAGCAGTTTCCTCTGAACTGAGACTCTCCAGGACTGGGGGGAAGGCTCTGAGACCCTGGAGATAAACACAGCCTCTCATGAAGGAATAGAAATCTGGGAAATTCTCTAAAGCCCCTCCCCAGCCTTACAGATGCATAAACAACCAATGGGGGAGGGGATTCCCTGTCCAGCTGCCTGAAGCTATAGAGTTCCCAGGCTGCGACCTTTGGGAGTAGTTTCCCCGTGTCAGGGTGGGTGTTTATGTGATGTGGCCAATTTTGAGTCCTCTCTGCTCCTGTAAGTGACCCCTTGCCCGCATTCCTACAATTACTATAACAACTCACTGGCTCATCAAGTTGGACTTTTGGTGCAACCATTAATTTGGTCTTTTGTGGGTTCCCTTTTGGGGTGAGTAGGAGTATGTGGTATGTGTTGGGGGGGTGTTCTGTCTCCCCAGAAAAAGTCTTTTATCAAACCCCATCCATGAATGTCAAGGTCAGGTGAAAGGCATATTGCAGCTCAGGCCTTGATTACACACAGTGACTGAGGGGGCTGCTGCTGGCCAGAGCATGCAGAAGGGCAGGGGCCAGGGCCACACCTGTCGCCTAAGCTCCTGCAGCTCACGGCGAGCCTCCAGTCTGGACCGCTCCACCTCCTGCAGCGAGGCCCGCAGCTCTCCAGCCTCCTTGCCTGAGGACACTCGAGCCTCCTCCAGGAGAGCCAGCTTCTGTTCCTTGTCTTCATTGGCAAGCTTCAGGCTAGAGAGAACAGAAGGCAGAGGCTGAGTTCTGGAACAGTCATCTGCATCTCGGTGCACAAGGTTCCCCTGGCTCTGAGTGGGTCTGGCCCCATCTTGCTCCAAGGGAGCCTAAGTGCTGGCTGCCCACACGGCTGCCCTTGCACTGACCGAGCATGGCTGGGAGAAAACCCTTGGCAGAGAGAGGCACATGAATGACTCCAGGAGGGGGCTTAGTTTCCAAGGTTACTGACACAGGTGAGGCCTGGGTGTCACCCTCTGTGTGTCACCTGTGCATTTTCTGTGGCAGACAAGCCATCAAACTGACCTCCCTGCTAGGCTGTGCTTACAGACCAAAGCTCACTATTGATATGGTTCCCTAAACCACGGTTCAGCTAGGCTCTTAACTGCTGGTAGATGGGACTAGGTGGGTAGTCCTCTGCAGCTCTACCTGATGCGCTCGCTCTCAGCCTTCTTCACAGCAGTCCTCAGCTCCTCGTTGGAACGCCGCAGGGCCTCACGCTCCTTGGTGCCCTCGCTCAGACTGCGACGCAGCTCGCTAGCCTCCTGGCGATGGGCCTCACAGCCCTCCTGGCTGTCCCGAACCTTGCGCTGAGCCTCCAGCAGCTCCCGCCGCAGCCCATCACGGGTATCCTCCAACAGGCGCAGCTGAGTCCTCAGCTCTTCTGCCTGTGGGTCCAGGATGGGGTCAGGGCCCCTCAGGCTAAGGCCATGGCAGGAATGGGCTTATATACCACTTCCTCCCTGGCTAGGGGGTACCATGGTCCCAACACTGCCCCATTCGTCTGAGGTGGGTGACTGACCTCAGCTATGGTATGAGACAAAGAGCACTGGACTCAGAAATACAGGAACCTGAAACGATCCCCATCAGAACTATCCAGTGAATGAGACCCTTAAACCCCTTTGCAAACATTAGATGCTTAATAAATGTCTACTGCCCCCATTTGGGTCAGCCAATATCTGTCCTCACTGCAGGAGGACTCCCAGGATCGGCCCAGCACTCCGCATGCTGCCAGGACAGAGCAGTGTCAGCTCACCTCGAGCATGCAGGACTCTCGCTGCCTGCCCAGGTTCCCGGTCTGCTCCTGGAGTTCTTTCACCTGTTGGGCATGGGCCGCAGTGGCGTCCTCCAGCTGGGCCCGGAGGTCTCGAAGCTCAGACGTCAGGGCGTTGACTGTGTTCTGAGGTAGTCAGAATCCTCACACTGATGTGTTCCCCAACACCAGCCCCACTGCACCACCCTACCCCTCTGGCTGAAATGCAGCCCCTCCCAGGGGCCCACCACTCCTTGATCAGTCTTCATGGGGGGGGAGTCTGTCCTTAAAGCTGACCTCTCTACACTAGTGGCCTCACCAGGGTTGAGCTAATGGCCACCTCCCTCAGTTGGGGATCCTGAAGGAAGGGTTGGACGGTCCCCACAACCTGGAAGCATTTCCAAAAGAAAGAGCAGGGCTTCCCATGGACAAGCCCCTCTAGGCAAGCTGTCCTCCCCTTGGATAAAGGCCTGGCTGCCTACCTACCCGGTCCTGTTCCTGCCGGCTCTGGGCATCTCGCTTCTGCCGTTCCATCTCCAGAGAGATGGCAGCCAGGTTGTGCCGGGTTCCCATCAACTTCTCAGACAGTGCTGTTTTCTCAGACTCCTTTAGGGACAAGGCCTAGGCAGAGGCAAGGAAGACATGGCTTAGTGGGTGGCTACTTCTTTCTCTTAGCCTCCCACTGGTGCTCAGTAGCAGTACTGGTCCACCATGGCTGGACCCTGGGCAGAGGAATCTGTACACTCTCAGTAGCCCTATGATAGGGTTCAGGAGCAGCAACAGGAGCCCAGATGTGGACACGATCTACAGACTTAACTAATGCCTCAACTACCCCAGGGCGAAGACTTTCATGATTCCCATGTTACAGAAGAGAAGTCAATGGCTCAGGGAGACACAGCAGGAGATGGCTGAAGTCTGTCCTGCTCCATTACCTGATGGAAATCAAGAATTAACTATTAGAAAGGGTCACCAAGCACCTGTGGGCATAGCCCAGAGGCATCCAGCCTGAGGCAAGCAAAGAGACAGAAGAATGTGAGAGAGCTTGCCCAGTCACCTGTCACTGCCACTACGTGCTAGGCCTCTAACTCTCTTAACCCTGCCGGAGGGAAAACTGAGGCCCAGGAGCAAACTGGCTGATTCCTGGGCTCCACGTGCTGGGTGGGGACCTCTGGGCAGAGCCAGGAGAGCCAGAGGCCACCAGACTCACACACCTGCTGCTTCTCGCTCTCCGCCAGGAGCAGGCCTTCATCCCGCTCCTGCTGCAGTGCAGCGATCTCCTCACTCAGCTCCTCCTTCTCAGCCTCCATCCGTGCCAGCAGCTCCTCTCGCTCTTGCTGCAGCTGGCCCTGCAGCTGGGCACGCTCTGCCTGCAGCTCCCTCCATGCAGCCTCCTGGGGGCCAGAGCCGGGCTGTGTGACATACTAGGAGGGACCCAGGAAATCCTTTGCATACCTCAGGTCAGAAAAAAGCCCAAGTACCCCATAGCTAAGAGACAAGATGCGTGAGCAGGGTCACATCAGGTCTGTGAATGCAGCAAGGAGGCACGACAGCCTGGGCTGGGGACAAGAGTGCTCCCTGGGGAGGATGGAGTAGACAGGCAGAGAAGCTGGAAAGAAAAGACTTGGGAGTGCTGATGAGGCCAAGACAGACAGGGCCAGGGGTCAGAGTGTGGCTCCCTGTACAAGAATGGTACAGCCCATGATGAAAGACAGCTTTCTCAGGGTGAGGGCATTGCCTGTCTGTCCCCTAGACCTTTCCAAAGGGTGAGGCCTTTCTTCAGGTATACCCTGCCATCTACTGGTCACATATGGTAATTTCCACTCTTAATTCTTGGAGACATAGGGGGCATCTCTCGCCCACTTTATAGGAGTCCTGCAGAGAGAACATGAACCTGTTGGAGGCAGCCCTGACCAGAACGGGTTTCTAGAGGCCCCTGTCCTGTGGACCACACTGGAGAGCACTCCAAGAGCAGGAAATGTATAAAGTGCTGGTGGCTACACTAACTCCTCCACATACAAGACCTCATAGCAATCTATCCCATTCCTATGGATGGAAAAATGGAGAAACAAAACCCTTATAGAGCATCAGTGGAAGGAGACCAAGATCAGACACAAACCCAGGAAATATAAGCACAGAACCAGAGTCCAAGTGACTTCCTTAGCAGGCCCGCCTTGCCATTCTTGAACCTTAGCAAATGAATGTAGCTTTTTACTGTGTTTGTTTTGTTTTGAGACAAGGTCTCACCATATAGCCCTGGCTGTTCTGGAACTATGCAGACTAGGCTGATCTCAAACTCTGAGAGATCCGACTGCCTCTGCCTTCTGAGTCGGGGTTAAAGACATGTGCCACCATACCCAGACTGCTCTTTGCTGTTAGAATGGCCTTGCTCCAGTATGGCTGTGGGTCTGCATCGGGTTCACTGGGATTGGACCTAATTTGGCACCTGGAACTCTACGCATTTGACAAGAACAACTCGCTCCCACAGATCTTCCCAGCTGTCCCCAGGGCCCCTATGGCAGACATGAAGTCCTGTTTCACAGATGTAAAAACTGAGGCAAAGCAAGCCAGCTGCCTTCCCAGAGCACAGATAGCAAGGCTCAGAGCCCTGCCTACTATCCCCAGCTGACCAAACCTTCTCACGCTGGAGTCTCTCAAGGTCTTCCTCGTGTGCTGCCCGCTGCTCCCGCAGAGAGGCCTGCGCCTCCCGCTCAGCCTGCACCAGCTTCTGGGTCATCAGCTCCTTGTCTAAGGCTGCTTTTTCTTCGGTGGCTGTGACCTGCTGCCGAAGGCCTGCCAGCTCCCCTGCACAAGAGGGAGGAAGACAGGGCTGAGTCACAACCTCCCTCTGGGACAACAGACTCGGGCCAGATGAGCCACATGGGCAAAATCAGAGGGACGAGAGCTTGCCTGGCACCTATGCTGTGTTTCTTGGAGAAGTGGCTTACCCCCTCTGGTTACCTGTTTCCCACCTGCTGTATGGGCTCAGTGGCCTGTGCCCCTTATTCCTCATAGAGGGGAAGGGTATCAAAAATGCAGTGACACCATAATTGACATGTCTGCTGGGTCTAGCAGCTGCTGACACTCCACACGTGCCAGCACATCACAGCATTTAAGTGACCTTGTTACCAAAGGTGATGCTCCAACACCAGTGACTACTCAAAACTGTCTAGCTTATGAAGTGTCTCTATTAGTGACAATGCCAGCCCCTCACTGAGGGACAACGTGCCCCACCTGCACAGTAAGTGCACTGCCCAGGCGGGAAGCCCAGCAGCACCCCTGGGTCTGTCTGACTCAGGAAAGTCAATTTTCATGACCCAAGCAGGGCTTAGCTCGCTGAGCTTTACCTTTGCTGATTTTAGAGAGTGGGGAGCATGGTCTGGGGCCATGGGGCTGACTCATGGAAGCAGCTGATGGTTCTATAGGGACCTTCCAACTCTCCAGCCTCCGCGATGACGAAAAGCAGCAGCCACAGTTGGCTGAGTCAGGCACTTTGCCAAGGCCTTCACAAGCTCCTTCACCTCATCCTGGCAATAGGCTAGGCAGGTGGGCAGAGGGAACTACAGCCCAGAGAGGGAAGAGCTTGCTCAGCAAACCATGTGACAGCTCAGGACAGGAGCCCAGGTCTGCCACACACCTCACCTAGGGCTCCTAACCTCTTCGAGACTCCAGTGCCCAGAGCTGAAGTCTAATATGGAGCCTGGGTGTTCTGCAGGACCCAGACCCTCATACCTGTCAGGGCTTCCTTGGCCAGCAGCAGAGCTTGACTGTCAGCTTCTAACTGCTCCCGGCGGGCCTCGAGCTGAACCAACTGCCTCTGCACATCAAACAGGCTGCTCTCCAGGGCTTCCTTCTCCAAGCTGTAGCACACAGTCCCGAGGCCTTGGGACTCAGCCTCCCTCATCCCCTGAGCCTCAGGGTGTGGCCAGTATGGGTCAACTACCAGCCTACTTGCCCAGCTAGACGCAGGCTCCCCAAGGAAGACTGCATCTGAGCTAGGCTGCATTGGTAAGAGTGGCTCCTAAGTAACTGCTCCTCTGGGTCAATCAACCCCCAGGGCGTGGTTGGTCAGGAAGTGGCCCCAGGGACACCCCCTGCCAGGAGTTGGGCAAAACCCACACCTTACCGTAGGCGAATGGCCTCCTCAGATAGGGTCCGACCCTCACGCTCTGCTGCCGCCAGCTGCACAGCCAGGCCAGCCCGCTCCTTGGCCAGAGCCTCCTTCTCCCGGGCTGTGCGCTCCAGTGCCTCTACCTGCCGCTGCGACTCCCGCAGGGCCTGTTCCAGCTCCAGGTCCCGTCCATTCAGCTGCCGGGAGAGCTGCCCGACCCAAGGACAGGAGCAGAAAGCCCTGATTGGTTCACTATGCAGCATTCTAGTGGGGGGGGGTGTCTAGTCCAGCCCTGGCCTGGCAGTAGGAGGCTAAGGGTCGAGCACAGACTCTATACTGCAATGCACACATGTGAAAAACCTAGAGTTCTAGTCATTCATTCAGCCCTGCACCCAAAACTTTCGGAGAAGCTGAACACAGCAAACGGCAGGTCAAGGCAAGCAGCTATGCAGGCTGCAGGGAGAAGCTGGAACCCTGGGCCCCAGGACACAGGCTGCACTACAGCCATGTGGCTCCGAGTTCCCTGAATTTCCACTTTCTTCTTATGACAGATCTTCACCAAGGCTGGCTCAGAGCTAGCACATCCTCTAAGTGACAGGATCTTCCAGCCTTAGAGACAGATGGGATGACAGAAGCATGCAGGGTATGGTAGCTTGTGTAAAGCCCTTAGCTAGAAGGATGAGGAGCATAAGAATCCAAAGGTAAGCGCCTGAGCCTGTGGCTTATCCCAGAGTAGCCTGTGAGTGGCCAGGAGCCCTGACCCACACATCTGCATGGGGGCTCACCTGGGCCAACTGCTCCTGCAGATGACTGCGTTCACTGCGCAATGCAAGGAGCTGCTGCTCCAGCGCCTCCCGGGCCTGCTCAGCTGCACACAGGGAGCCCTCCAGGCCCTGCCGCTCCACCTCCTGCTCCAGCCTCAGCTGCTCCAACCGTTCCTGCTCCTCCAGAGCCAATGTAGTGGCATGCTCTGCCTGCTGCTGTCGGTCCAGAAGCACCGCCTTTTCTTCCTCTAGCTGTAGGGTATGATAAAAGTCTGGGCGAGCAAGGGGACCCTCCCAGGACCAGGGGTAGCCCTCCCATTCCCACCAGTGGTCACAGCCTGTAACACGAATAATTAAAAAACCCAGAGACTGATACTGGGGTTCCAGCTTCAGGCTGAAGATCAGAGAAGCAAAGCAGCTGACCTCTAGCTCTCACCTCTGCCTCGGGCCGAAAGGGCTGTCCTGAAAGGGCGTGGCTGGAGAATAAATCTCTGAGACTGACTTTGCTTCTCCCTTAGACTCCTCTCTCTGCCCAGCCATATCACTCCTGTCTCCACCTCTCTAGGGCTGGGATTAAAGGCTGTGATCCCAAGTGCTGAGATCTCCTTTGTGTGAGCTGTTTCTCTTTTTGACTGGATCGATTTCGTGTAGCTCAGTGTGGCCTTGACCTAATAGAGATCCATCTACAACTTCATCCTGAATTCTGGGATTGAAGGTGTGTGCCACCACCGCCTAGCTTCTATAGTTAACCAGTGTGGCTGGCTTTGCAATCTGATACTTCAGAAAATCTTACTAAATCATAAATAATATATCACCAAAACAGCCAGTTCAGGGGAGGCTCCCTAAGCTGAAGGAAGAATGTACGTGGTTCGGAGAACAAAGCACCAAAATAGAGCAGGGCCCCTAAGACATCCTTCTATGATGCACAAAACAGAGACCAAGAGAGCCAGGCAGGATGAGAGGCGGAGCGCAGGACAGACAGGGTAGGGTGTGGGAGCCCCAGCATGCCTCTGCAGTGTCCCCTGGTGGAGGGAGCAGGCGCTGGTACATAGTATACCTGGGCCATGAGGCGGTTTAGCTCCAGCTTGTCCTGGGCGAGACTCTCATTGAGGGCACTCAGCTTGGACAGGGAGTCTCGCAGGGAGGCCTCCTCTGTCCTCAGCTTGGTCAAGGAGAGCTCTAGCTGTGCACGGCCAGCCTCAGCCTGCAGTGGAAACAGGGAAGCAGACGTCATGTAAGGGAGAGATCCAGGGAAGCAAACTCTTACAGCCTGGGTCAGGGCCAAGGAGAAAGGGTGACAGGAGTCAGGTAATCCCATCAAAGAAGGACACAGCCTGGGACGCCATCTGAAAGACAACTCATACTCTAGAGCTGCCTAAGAAAGGACCAAAAGGCAGAGCTAGTGGTCAGAAGAGACTCCAAGTGCAGCCCAGGAGGCCATCATGTAGAGCCTAGAAATGGATCAAGCACCCTCTGAGGAGTCTCAGGACTATGGCCCCAACTCCCTCAGTTCCAGGACTCATCTCCACAGAAAGGACCAAGTGACCCTGAGCTTCAGGTTCTAGTCCCAGGAGCTCCTGAAGAAGCCTATGGGTCTGTGGCCTGGGTCAAAAGTCAGCCTATGGGGCTGCTAGGGAGATGGTGGGTAAAACCCTTGCCACTCAAGCATGAGTTTAAATCCCCAGACTGCATGTACAAACTATATGCAGAAGAGAACAAGTATAATTCTAGCATTCCTACAGTAAGATGGGGGTGGGGCAGAGTCCCCTGAAGCTCAAGATCCAGTATATCCAGCAGGGAACAATGAGGGCCATAAATAAGGTGGAAGACATGCATAGACACCAAGGCTGTCCTGACTTCCAGACAACCCCCACAGCACACATTTGCGCCCCACCACACACACGGGGGCCAGGAAGGTGTGGATTTAAAACACAGTAACAAATAAAAATAAATAAGGTCAGTCTGTATCCAGGGGAAGTGACATGCTCAGACAGTGGCCTGATAGGGTCGGTCTGTGGCCAGTGGGAGAATCATGAGTTGTGCAGCTGAGGACTCACCTTGGTCAGTGCCTCGGCCACCTCTGCCTTCTCTGCCTGCAGCACATCTCTCTGCAGTGTGGCGCAGCTCAGTGCCTCCCGCACCTCTACCAGCTCCTTAGCCAGCCCCGAGCGCTTCATTTCCAGCTGCTCCAGCTGCCTGTGGCTGTGGGGCAGAAGACTGTTGTGGAATATTCCTTTACACTGTGTGATGACGGGTCACTGTAATTGGTTTTATGAAAAGCCAAGTGGAGGTATAGCAGGCACTGTGGACAGAGAGAGCTCTGGGAAGAAAGGTGGAGTGGCGAGGCAGATGAGGGACAACGAGGATGGGCATGATGGAGATGAGGGTAATGAGCACATGGAAGAACGAAGATAAAAAAGATGGGTTAAGCCAGGCAGTGGTGGTGCATGCCTTTAATCCCAGCACTTGGGAGGCAGAGGCAAGCAGATCTGAGTTCAAGGCCAGCCTGGTCTACAGAGTGAGTTCTGGGACAGCCAGGCCTGTCATAGATAAACCCTACCTCAGAGAAAGAGAGAGAGAGAGAGAGAGAGAGAGAGAGAGAGAGAGAGAGAGAGAGAGAGAGAGAGAGAGAGAGAACACTACTTAGAAACAAACCTAAGCTAAGGCCAAGCTTTCATAATTAAATGTCTCTTTGTCGTCTTTTTAAAATTTTTATTTCATGTGCATTGGTGTTTTGCCTGTGTGTGTTTCTGTATAAGGGTGTCAGAACTCCTGGAAATGGAGTTACAGACAGTTTTGAGCGGCCATCTGGGTGCTGGGAATTGAACCCAAGTCCTTTGGAAGAGCAGCCAGTGCTCTTAACTGCTGAGCCATCTCTTCAGCCCCTCTGAGTTGGTGACCCAAAAAGTTGGTGTACATATGGCAACCAACATCCAGCCATCTATAGCCATATAAGGCCTGAGAAAGCCAAAAAAGGCAAGTTCAGAATAAGGGGTCAGACACACAGCCTCCTGGTGCAGCCTCCTGGTGATAGCAGTCTCTTGGGTATGCTCAGTGTACAGACTGCCCAAGCGCTGGAGACATAGACATGCACCAGTGTCATGCACTAAACTAAGCTGCAGCTGACACCGCAGTTTAAGATTTGTCTCACACCATCAGAAAATACTGCAGATTTTTAGTAAAGCCAGGTCCAGATACAGAAAACCTACAAAAAAGGTATGTTTTAAAATGTGCTTAGATGCTGAAGAAAAGAAAATGGGTATAGACAGTCATAGAAAAAAGAGTTTACAAATAATAGTCTTTAAAAAGAGTAAAATAATATTAAAAAAAAAGAAGAAGCTATGTAAGGATGAAAAATATAACACAGGGAGTTTGGACCTTAGATGGTGTTCTGGATGCTAATGAAAAGAGAGTGACAGCTGCTGGGGGACACTGGACTGTGGAATGGACTGCTGAATAAACCAGCCTAGATACTTTAGGAAAGACTTAACTTGAAAGTGGAAGTCAGAAAAAGTATTGCTCTGGGGAAGAGGTTATGCTTTTATTTCCACAGAAAACAAAAGGCTGTGGATTTGTTCAAGGTTAAAGAGGATCAGGTTTGATCAGAGAAGACCCCATGAAAATTCTGGCTACAGACACAAAGAAATAAACTTAGAAAAACTACAAAACAGATGACATATTTTACCTGCTCAAACATAAAACAAAAGACCATCTTTGGCTTGTATACAGCCCACAGTCCAGACTTGCATACTTGTATTAATACAGACATGTATGCTACCTTTGAAAGCTTGTGTGTTTTCAAATCAAGGGGACCAGACACCAATGAAAATGGGTGGTCCAGGTGATCCAGTCTCTCAGAGTGCCTCTGTTGTAGTTTTCTCGGAGTTCTACATCCAGAACAGCTTCAAGGATGCTGGCTGAGATGGTCCAGCCTCATAGACTACTCCAACCAGACTTCAGATAAGCCCTACACTTTCCATCACACCAAGACTGGACAACAGCAAGCTCTCTCAGGACTGACCATTATCTAAATTTTCTCAGGGTCCCCTAAAGATGTTGTTGCCCCCCCAGACAACAGGAAGCAGTCTAGAGAACATGATGCCCACATTACCAAGAGGTGCACTGGGAGGACCCTAGGTAAGCAGGGGCCCACCTGCGCTCCAGCTCTCTGCGGGCCCGGGCTCCCTCCTGCACTGTGTCCTCTTGCTCATCTTCCAACTGAGTGTGCTGACGCCTCAGCTCCTCCTGGGCAGTCTGCAGCTTTTCCAGCTCCTGGTGCAGCTCCTCCACCTGCTTCTGGGTCACCTGCAGGCTGTGGGCCAGGCTTCCCTTCTCCCTATAGGACAAGCAAGGAGAGGACAGGGCTTTTCTGAGGCTGCTCTCCACCAGAGAAGGTGGCTGGACTGACTACTCTGACCACATCCTCTGTTCTCCAGGATGCTGCTTCCAGAAAGCCTTCCTGATGCTTCTCACAGATGACTCATCTTGCTCACACCGGCAATGAGAATGGCTCTCCTCCCCAGTTTGCATACCTACAAGCCCAGGAATGAGGGAAGATGTTGGTGTTACCTGAAAGAACCCCAGCAGGTGGGAGAGACCAGAGCCAGGCTCCTAGGACACAAAGGCATCTTGGATGCCAGTTCTAAGCTGTATGACCAGGAGACACCTGTCGTCTAGCAGCCTCAGTCATGGCAAGCCAGACAGAGCCAGATCTGTCTCAGAACTTCCCACTGCACAGAGCAGCAGCATGTGCCACAGAGGAAGGAGGAAGCCCAAGGCTTGCAGAGAGCTGCTATTTTCCCCAGCTCCAGGGCTCCTGCCAGAGGTTGCAGGTTCCCTTGTCAGCTGGGGTTTGAAGATCAGGCTAAGGGCTGCCCACCTCTTTACTACAGAGTGGCAACCCCCAAATATAATAAATGTTAAGATGGAAAACAGCATGTGGCATGATATTAAGACAGCAGAATGCAAAATGGGTTTCTCACCAAGGGCACAACCATTTTTAAAGGCTCATTTCCTTCCCATGCAAGGAAATCAGAGGCTTGGTCCCAGATGCGCCCCATTGCCACTTCCATCCATACTCAGAGCATGAGCCTGGGAAGTCTTTCACCAGCTGTATGACGACAGCTTTGACAGATTCACATAAACTTGAGGTAACACAGGTACAGCACTTACCACACAGCCTGGAACACAGTAGGTACACAAATGCGCACGTGCATACCTACTGTGCTTCCATACTGCCAGGACTATGGAAGGCAAAACCAGAACTTAAGATGAGCAGGTAAGGCTGACAGGGGTGGGGTGGGAGTCGGGGGCTGCACTTTGAGTTCACCTGTCTCTCTCTCTCTCTCTCTCTCTCTCTCTCTCTCTCTCTCTCTCTCTCTCTGTTGTCTTTTTATTAAAATCTTTTTTAAAATAATTTTTATTTCATTTGCAGTGGTATTTTGCCTGCGTATGTGTCTGTGTGGGGGTGTCGGATCTTGGAGTTATAGACAGGTGTGAGCTGCCATGTGGGTGCCGGGAATTGAACCCAGATCCCCTGGAAGAATAGCCAGTGCTGTTACCACTCTCCGGTTCCTGTTTTTGTTTTTCTAGACAGGATTTTTCTGTATAGCCCTGGTTGTCCTGGAACTCACTTTGCAGATCAGACTGGTCTTACTATGTAGCCCTGGCTGGTTTGGAACTGCTATATAGCCTGGACTGACCTCAAACTTAGACCAATCCTCCTGCCTCAGTGTCCTAAGTGCTGGGTTTGGGATATGAGCTACCAGTCCCTGATTTTCTCAAAGACTTGTTTGTTTGTTTATTTGAGACAGGCTTCACTATGTAACCTTGGCTGTCCTGGAGCTCCCTATATAAACCAGGCTGGCCTCAAACTCACAGAGACCTGCCTGCGTCAGCCTCCCAAGTGATGGTATTAAAGAGGCATGCACCACTATGTCTAGCAGTTTTGTTTTTATTTAGGAAAAGAAAATAAAAAAGCAACATTAAAAAATCTGAAACCTACCAAGTGGCCAGGGGAGGACAACTTGTGTCTTTTAAAAGAAATTTTATAATATTTTTAATTATTTTTTTGTTCTGGGGGGGTGACATAGCACATGCGTGATGATCAGAAAATAACATTCCTGAATCCATTCTCTGGAGCACACACTGCTCTTGCAGAGGACCAATTTGGTTCGCAGCGCCCACCCTGGGTGGCTCACCGTCACCTCAGACTCCAGATCCACAGGGATCTAGCTGACAGCCTGGCTTCTAGGAGTGCACATATCCACATGCACATAATAGTAATAATAATAATAATAAAAGCTTCTTTTAAAAAGTCTCTACCAGGGCTGGGCATAGTGGTGCACGCCTTTAATCCCAGAGCTGGGAAGGTGGGAGCAGACAGATCTCTGTGAGTTTGAGGCCAGTCTGATCTACACAGGGAATTCCACACCAGCCAGGGCTACATAGTGAGACCCTGTCTCAGAAACAACACACAAGTATCTAAGAAAATCAGGGACTGGTAGCTCACATCCCAAATCCAGCACTTAGGACACTGAGGCAGGATTGCCCCAAGTTTGAGGTCAGCCCAGGCTATATAGCAGTTCTAAATCAGCCAGGGCTACATAGTAAGGCTGTGTTAAAAAATAATAATAATAATAATAAAATAAAACTCAGACAAATAACAACAAATAAACAAGAAAAAAACTGTCTCTAGTGTGGCTGGGATGTAGCTCAGCGAGTACTTCCCTGGCATGCACCAGGCTTGGATTCATTCCCAGCAGGAGGCAACCAACCAACCAGAAACAGTTCAGAACAGCACTGACAGCAGAATTCTAGAATGTTCTATTGCCACCTGTGGCAGTGGAGGACCTTGAAATATGGCTAGGGTAATGAGAACTTAATTTTTACTTCCTTGAAAACTGTCAAATTTTTCACCTGTAAGGTGGGGCCCTCTAGCTGAAAGGCCTGGCTGGCTAATCCCAATGCCTCCTGCTAACCCTTAGGGCACCCGCACCTGTTCAGGAGTTCGTTGGCACTGCGCAGGCGCTGGGCCTCACGTATGGCATCCTCTTGGGCCTGGGCTGTGACTGCTATCTGGTCCTGCAGGCGCTGCAGCTGTTCCTCCAGGCCACGCCGCTCACCCTCGCTGTCACTGAGCTGTTTGCGCACGGTGCCCAGCAGGTCTTGGCTGGCTTCATAGCGCCCACGCATGTCCTGGAGTATGGGGGTGATGGGGTCTGGAGGAGCCCACTCACTCTCTCCTAACAGCTCCATAGCAGTGAACGTGCCTGAGGCAGCAGAGGGCACGCCTCCACTCCGGAGTCCTCACCTCCCTGCCAACAGGGCAACTCCAACTAGCGCCCCCAGGGTCAGGCAAGGAAAACTGCCCAAGAGCACAGGCCCCTAGATGCTGACTCTACCCACGAAGGCCCAGGCCACGCCCCCTCGTTTCTTCCCTGGAACCCCGCCCCTGATTCCTAAACCCCCTTTGTCCTAGGCTCAGATTCTTCCTTCCAGACTTCTCTTAGGGTCCTGATCCCAAGTTTTATCTCCTTTTCTGAAGGCCCCAGCCCCTTTTCTGGGGGTACTCCAGGCCATTCAGGCACTCCAGGCTCCGATTCTGTCTAGAACTTTCCATCAGCAGCCGTTTCTCAGAACCCTAGCCCCGCCCCTAGGGTCCCTGGCTGCAGGATGCTTAGGCCTGCTCATACTTGGACCTGCAGCTGGCGCTTATGCAGGGCGGAGTGGATTAGTGTGAGTGTAGAGGAGTCAGAGCAGGCTGGGGACAGGCCTCGGCGTGGAGAACGACCTCGACCCGGGGAGGAGTGCCGTGGTGGGGTCGGGGTCCGCGGGCCAGAGAGCCCCCGCAGGCTGCCATCAGAGGTGTCCGCAGTGTGCCCTGAGCTGCTGAGCAGGACACCACTCTCTGTGTCCGATAGGGCAGCCTTGCAGGAAGGGAGAATATGGGAGTTGGGGTTAGCTGCTCACAGGCATAGCAAGGCAACGAGACACTTCCCACAAGCCCCTTCTCCCAAGCCTTCCTGAGTCCATCTCTGCCAGAGTGCAGCCCTCCAGGCAAGGCCTACCATTCACTGTCCTTTAGTGTGCTCACAGTTCTCACAGGGGCATCTTGGGGCAAGCCTGGGTGAGCCAGTGGAGGTCAAAAGCATCCAGGGTGAATAGGCCCCACCCACTTCCAGTTCATCCCAGGGGGTGTGGCAGGGAGCTCTGATTGTCTGGCCAGCCCTGTCCGGGCTGTAACCATACCTGTGCCAGGTCCCTCAGCGTCTGCTGCAGGCCCTCTCCATCCTCAGTGTCCAGGGCTGCCTGCTCCTGGAGCCGCAGAGACTCCTAGTGACAAGAAAGGTTGGTCGCTGTTCTGCCGAAATATGAAGTCACTTCTTCCTGCCCCTCTGGAATAGCAGTTATGTCGATTCCCATAGGCCAGCTGCCCTCACTGAACAGATGAGACCCAGAAAACTACAGTGCCCTGTCCCAGTCACATGACCTAGTGAAGAACAGCACAAACCCTGCCCCACAAAGGAGGTGTGGAGACCAGGCGGTATGCATCTGATGGGGAGGCATTCCCTGGGAGCCCAGGAGGGGATCCAAACCCTGACGCCCCACCTTCTGAATAAGTTGGTTTCCTCAACTTTCTAATGGCTTGCTGCAAGGAGCGTGCAGGGCACAGAGGAGGTAAATGTCACTTTGCTAAACCTGGCATGTACTGGGAGGACAGCACCTAGTCTCAATGAGACATTCAACATGGCCCAAGCAGCCTGGCCCTCAGCCAGTAACCATGGATCTGGCTGGTGCCACATCTCACCAGGGCCTCCAGCTTTTCAGAGAGGGTCCTGTTGACCTGATCCTTCTCTGTGTTCTGGTTCTGAAGGTGCTCCACGGACAAGGTCAGCTCTGTCACTCTGGAGGGGGGAGCAAAAGAGGTGAACAGGGGACCTGCCTCAGCTTCTCAAGTTCCCCAGCGTATGTCCTGTGTCCCAAAACTGAACAAGGACCCTAAGGATCCTAGGACCTACCTCCCCAGGTGTGGGACCTGGAGTGAGTCACTTCTCACCTGGGGTCTCTGATTTCTCAGTTGCAAAATGGGAATGAGGTGACAGCTTGTAGGAGGCAGGAGTTGCAGCCATGCATGTCAACAGAGATTGCACTGCCTGCAGTGTGCCTAGACCCCAGTCCTCTGAACTTCACACACTGTGCCTAGGGAGCCCAGCCAGACTCACCCGGGGAAGGGCCCAGCCCTGAGGAACACACTCCAGGTGACCCCTCTGCAGGGGAGCTGGCCACGAATGGGCCTGCTGTCACCCACCTGGCACTAAGGTCGGCCTTGTCCAGGTCACTCTGCGCCTGCAACTGGGCCAAGTCCTTGTCCCGGAGCAGCCTGGCCTGTAGCTGCTCCTCTAGTTGGGCCTGCAGCAGTGTTTGCTTCTCCAGAGCTGCCTCAGCCCGACTCTCAGCCCGCTGCAGGCTGGCATTGAGTCCCAGGCCCACCTCCTGGACAGCCCGTGATGTCCGGACTAGCTCCCCTCCCAGCTGCAGTAGATCCCTGAGAGAGAGCAGAATAAGGGGCGTAGGGGGTGGCCCCCAAGTACAAATCAAAACTACACTGTGACACTATCCATCGTTATCAGGTTACAGAAACAAAGTCACATTATGATCAACTTGGGTAAAGCTGTGGGGAAACTGGCTATCCCCTATGCAGCTGATGGAGGGAAGGTGGCTAGAGCCACATGGGAAGGCAATTAGGAGAAGCCCTGAAAGGTATGAACACCCGGGCCCTTTGCATCTAAGAATGCATCTTGTAGACAGGCTCAGCACAAGGCAATGACAGATGACTCATGGGAACATAGCACGTGTGGAAATCCTGGAGATACCAAAGCATCCATTAAAAGGAAGATTGCTGTAAATTATGGGAGTCAGTGGATCTACAGCCAAGAAAAGCCAACAGGGAAGCTACTCCTGATATGTACATATATCTCCCAGGAAAATGATCAGATGAGAAGGATTCTTCAAGAACAGCAAAGTTTGCCAGGTGGTGGTAGCTCACGCCTTTAGTCCCAGCACTCAGGAGGCAGAGGCAGGTGGATCTCTGTGAGTTTGAGGCCAGCCTGGTCTACAGAGTGAGTCCTGTGACAGCCAGAACTGTTTACACAGAGAAACCTCGTCTCAAACAACAAAAAATAAAATAAAAAACAAACAGCAAATTTGAGCCGGATGGAAGCACATGCTTGCCGTCACAAGTTCTCAGGAGGCCAAGGCAGGAGGAGAGCATTCCAGGCTGACAGGTGTTGGGGAGTGAAATGGCTTAGGGCAAAGGTGCCTGCTGCCAAGCCCGATGACCTGGGTTCGATCTTGGGGACCTACATGGTGGAAGGAGAGAGTCCCAGTAGATGTTCTTGACCACTGCCACACACACACACACACACACACACACTAAAAACAATCTGGAGGAGAAGCAAAGATAAAATGATACACAGAGTATACGCCCCAAAAGACTATGCCTCCTGAGTGCTGGGCTAAAGGCATGAGCCACCACCACCACTGCTGACCCACCCCCATAGTGGCACACACCTTTAATCCCAGAATTTGGGAGGCAGAGGCAGAAGGATTCTCTGTGAATTTGAGAACAGCCTGGTCTACATATCAAGCTCAAGACCACCCAGGGCTATACAATGAGATCCTTTTTCAAAAACGAAAAACCATTTCCATGCTAATTAAAAGCAAGAGCCACTTTAAAGTCCCACCATGGGCTCACTCATTCTCTAAATGAACTGCAGTACTGAGCATCCAACGGCAGGGGGTGGGGGAGTGTCTCACAGAATTCTAGCTAACACACAGTAAGTCAAGCATAGCATCAAAAGCCTCTGACGCAGTTTTATCCTGGCATTGAGCCAGAACTACCATCACAGGCTATAGACACCTGCCCTGGGCCAAGGGGCCTCCTGTGGGGGAACACTGTACTGTTGGAGTCTGAGTCTTGCCAAGGAAACAGCAATCTGCAGCTCTAACCACAGATCTGTGCAGGCTCATGCAAACATGAGACAGCGAAAACTAGACTACAGGAATCCCTGAGGGCAGCTGGCTGTTCCCTAAACAAATAAGACTTAAGAGACCAAAAGAAAAGTTTAGCCAGATGTGGTGGGTAACACAGACCTATATTCCCAGAACTTGGAAGAAAATGATCCAAGTATGGGCTGGAACCACCAGTCAGTTGATAGAGTGCTTGCCTAACACATGCAGAGCCCTAGATTCAATCCCCAGCAACATATAAGCCTGGCATGGTAGCACTGTAATTCCAGCACTCAAGTGGAAACAGAAGGATCAGAAGTTCAAGGCCATCATCCTGTACAGTGAGTTCCAGGACAGCCTGGAATACATATGACTCTAAGAAAGAAAAAAGATTCAAAAATTTCAAAATCTGCTGGATATGGTAATATACACCTTTAATCCCAGCATTCAGGAGGCAGAGGCAAGGTAGGTCTCTGAATTGGAGGTTAGCCAGAATTGTATTTGAGATGCTGTCTCAAAAAAAAAAAATCACATTTTGTGAATATCTATGGCTCCTGATTCAAACAAACTATAAAAATGAAAGGGAAACTCAAATTCAATTCTAAATGGATCAAAGACCTCAACATAAAACCAACCACACTGAACCTCATAGAAGAGAAAGTGGGAAGTTGCCTTGAATGCAGTGATACCACTTCCTAAATAGAACATCAGAGACACAGACACTGAGAGAAACAATAAATGTGCCCTCCCAAGACTGAGAAGCTTCTGTAAGGCAAAGGGTATGGTCAACAATGGCAGCCTTCAGAATGGGAAAAGATCTTACCAGCTCCACATGTCAGAAGATGAATCTCCAAAATATACAAAGAACTCAAGAAATTAGACATCAAAAGATCAAATGATCCAATAAAAATAGGGCACAGATCTAAAAAGAGAACTTTTAACAGAGGAAAATATCAAATGGTGGAAAGACACTTAAGGAAATGCTTAACATCCTTAGTCATCAGAGAAATACAAATCAAAACAACTCTGAGATTCTATCTTACACTTGTCAGAATTGCCAAAATCAAAAACACTGATGACAGCTTATGCAGGAGAGGATGTGGAGTAAGGAGAACACTCCTCCATTGTTGCTGGGTGTGCAAATTCATACAGTCACTTTGGAAATCAGTATGACGGTTTCTCAGAAAATTGGGAATCAATCTACCTCAAGACCCTGCAATATCACTTTGGGGCATATACCGAAAGGAAGCACATTCACACCATAAGGACATTTGTTCACTATGTTCATAGCAGCATTATTCATAATAGCCAGAGCCTGGAATCAACCTAGATGTTCCTCAATGGATGAATGGATAGGGAAAATGTACATTTACACAACAGAGTACTACTCAGCAGTAAAAAACAATAGTGTCTTGAGATTTGTGGATAGAACTAGAAAAGGCCATCCTGAATGAGGTAACCCAGACCCAGAAAGACAAATATAGTATGTAGTCACTCATAAGTGGATATTACACATAAAGCAAAGGACAACCAGACTATAGGCTACAACCCCAGAGAACCTATGTAATAATGAGGACCCTAAGAGAGAGGATCCACCTAGGAAGGGGAAAAAAAGACAAGATCACCTGAGTAAATTGGGAGCATGGGGGGCAGAGGGGAGGGTGGAAGGGTTATTTGAAAAATGTTAAGCATTAGCTAGTAACAAGCCTAAACTATTGGCCAAACATTTACTATTTAATAATAAGTTTTTGAGTAATTATTGGGAAGTGGTCATAACACAGGAAAACTCCTCCTACAAAGGAAAGAATAGGTGGGACTTCTGGGCAGAGAGAGGAACTCTGGATGAATCTAGACACGAAAGGGACTCAGCTAGACAGTGAAGAAGTCAGACATATGGTACAGAGGAAAGGTTAACTGAGCCACATCATAGAATGTAGATTAATAGAAACAGGTTAACTTGGGGTTGAAGAGATGGCTCAGTGGTTAAGAGCACTGCCTGCTCTTCCAAAGATGCTGAATTCAATTCCCAGAAGTCACATGGTGGCTCACAACCATCTATAATGGGATCTGATTTCCTCTTCTGGTGTGTGTGAAGATAAGACAGGTCATTCATATACATAAAATAAATATATATATATTTTTTAAAGAAACAAGCTAATTTATAAGAGCTAATGACACAAGTCTGAGCTAAAGGCCAAGCTTTCATAATTAATAAGTCTCAGAGTTGTTATATGTGAGCTGGTGGCTCAAAGGAAAATCTGGCTACATTTGGTGTCCAACGTGGGGCTTGACCACACAGATGAAAAAGTCACACCAGCTGACACCACCATAGGTGCCACCTGGGTCTCTCCACAAGCACTCAAAATAGTTGGCTGCTGCTTGCTGGGATTCTGAAAAGTGGGCACAACAACTTACCAGACCTGGGACAGTTAGGGACAGCTCCTGCCGCTACCTGTAGACCCCAAAGAGTGCAGACCCAGCTGCCAATGCCATGTGCTAAGCAGAGCCATGCTGTTTAAGGTTTGACTCACACAGTCAGAGAAGCTGCAGACACACAGAAAGTCAGGTCCAGCCAGGTGGTGGTGGTGTACTTGGGAGGCAGAAGTAGACAGATCTGTGAGTTTGAGGCCAGCCTGGTCTACAGAATGAGTTCCAGGGCAGCTAGGGCTACACAGAGAAACCCTGTCTTGAAAAAAATTAAAAAAAAAGGAGTACAAAACAGGTGATGTAATGTGATTCCCTCAAAATGGGAACAGCTCTGAGACTTCATGAGGCATGATAAATCATGTTGGCTACGGAGTCCTCATGATGTGTTATTACATGCCATCCTTTCACATGGCATGGATAGAGGTTTATATTATAGTTTGGTTATGCAATCCAAATGGCCTTCCAAAATTGACAGATGCCTTTACCTTTTCAAACAGAATAAAAAAATCTTTAGCTGACTTGCACACACCACACATTCAACACTTGTGTTAACACAGATATGTATATTGACTTTAACTTTGTATATAAAAAATATTTTTTAAAAAATTTGTACATTTTCAGGGGAAAAAAAAAAAAAAGGACCAGGCACCAAAGAAGACAAGTAGCTCCGGTAATCCAACCCCTCAGATGCCTCTGTTGAGTTTCCTCAAAATTCTGCATCTAGACCGGCTTCAAAGCTGAGGAGGTACATCCTCACAGATTACTCCAGCCAGGACTTCAGATAAGTTCTACACTTTCCCATCACACAGAGACTAAACAAAAAAAATGATACAGCTAGCTGTCCCAGGACTTGACTATTACTCCAATTTTTCAGGGAGGGTCCCCTAAAGATGCCATCATCCCTAGACAATAGGAAGCAGTCTAGAAAACATGGCACAAACACTCCCAAGAGGTAGGATGGGTGTCTTTTGGTCATCCTGTGGTTTATAAATGTTTGTCATCATTTAGGGGGATTGATTGCAAATTGTTACTGGTCATGGTAAGGTAGGAAGCTAAACAAGGGAGGTTGGATTCAAAGAGCTCTTTCTGAATAAAAAAAGGGGGGAGATGTAGGAATGATAGGATAAAAGGGTAAATTATAGAATCTATTTTCAAACTAAAGACAATTATTAATCTCAAATATTTTACATTGGGATGGATTTTTGCTTTGTATACTGATACAAATTTAAGGTTATTTTTGTTAAAACATGCTGTATATGTTTCTACTCTTGTTTAAGATTTTTTTTATATTAATACAAATTTAAGGTAACTTTTATTTTAATGTACTGTATATGTTTCTGCTCATTTAAGGTATTGTACCTATACAGCTCATTTAAAAATGTAAAGCTGAAAACTATTATTATAAATTACTTAGGATAATTTTAAAAAATGCAAGTTAGTAATTAGTCATGTATAACAACCAAACTTGTACTCATTTAGGTATGTTTTCAAGGTCAAAGAAAGATATTTTTAGATAGATGATCTTCAAACATTTCAGAGATCTACAGAATATGGCATTTAAGTTGTTTTAATAACATAGAGCTTTTCATGACAGAGAGACACTTCTGCTCCTGGCAGTACCAATCTGCTTCAAAAGGAGAATCTCCATATGGAGTTTGATTTCTATGTACCAAAGCTAGCCACTGGGCAAGAAACTGCTCATGCCTCTACTGCTGACAGTATACTGTCCAAATTGAACAAACAGGACACACACACAAAAAAAAATCTTTGCCAAACTTTGCCAAGACAAAGTAGGACAGTCCTTCAAAATTCCTGCTTTACAGAAGTCTGTCAGATACCTTAGGCCTGTAGGCCAAAGATGGATACCCCAACATTGGGTATCAGGCAGCCAGCTATCTGTCATTTCTATAGTTTAGAAAGTTGTTTGCTATGCACTTCCTGTTTATTTAGGTAATATTTTATCCTTCTCAGGTCTCAGGTGGGGTTGGACATTAGATAGTTATACAATTTTCCTTTTTATCAAATTAAAAAAAAAACTCACAAAAGAGATGTAAAGTGGTAGGGTGGTTCTTGGAGACCATCACCATCCTCACTACCTCAGGCCTCTGAGATAGAAAATTACTGCCTCTTAAGAAGTAAGCAGAATGTTTAGCAGAGCTTGCGGTTTTACAACCAGTTAAAGAATAGCTCAGGATATTCTTCCTGTTGTAGCTTTACAACCAGTTAAAGAATAGTTCAGGATATCCCTCCTGCTACAGTTTTACAGCCAGTTAAAGATTAGTTCAGGACATTCCTTCTCTGACCCTTTCACCCTGCCCACTTGCAAACCCTGCTCACATCCTGCCCATGGTCCTATCTAAGCCTCCCCTGAGAAAATGAAGTTTAACAGCTTGGTCAGAACATGGACCTGCTGTCGTTCTTCTCCTCCCTTGCCCTTCGATTCCCCTAGGTGTCTCCCAGTTCATTGTTGACTGCCCCACGGGTCGGGGCAGGTAGTGGTGGTGCACACCTTTGATCCCAGCACTTGGGAAGCAGAGGCAGATGGATCTCAGTGAGTTTGAGGCCAGCATGACCTACAAATCGAGTACCAGGACAGCCAGGACTATTATACAAAGAAACAAAACAAGGTTGAGAGACACAAAAGCTTAAGCTGCTTATCTAAAAAATGTTTTAAGGTCTAAAAAGATATTTGTAGCTCCATAATACAAGTTATGATAAAAAGTGATATAGGTATAAAACTTTGGACTCATCACAATAGGATAGATAGGTAATAGAGTATTTTCTCCAAACTTGGCAAATACAAATGAACAAGATATTGTGAATGTAATTCTTACCTAATAATTGTTCTTATTTTATATAGTTTTACTGTGGTAGAGTTAAACCCTTTCTTTTTAATTTAGACAAAAAAAGAGGGAAATGTTGTGGAATATTTGTTTACACTGTGTGAAGCTGTGTCACTGTGATTGGTTTAATAAAGAACTGAAAGGCCAACAGCTAGGCAAGGGAGAATAGGTAGGACTTCTGAACAGAGAGAGCATGAATATAGGCATGAGAGAGACACCAGCCAGACACTAAAGAAGGTGGACAAACAGTATAGAGGGGAGGGAACCAAACCACGCGGCAGAATATACATAAAGAGAAACAGGTTGATTTAAGTTATAAGAGCTAGTGGGACAAGCCTAGGCTAAAGGCTGAGCTTTCACAATTAATAATAAGTCTCTATGTCATTATTTGTGAGCTGGTGGCCCAAAGGGAAGTCTGACTATACAGCTACTCTCTGTTGTGTGATCTGAGGAGATCATTCAACCTCTCTGATCTTTGGTATGAAATGATGATTAGGACAATTCCTGACGCAGAGGAGCTCTGAATACTGGGTTAAATATCAAAGGAAGCACATAATTTACTGAGCCTCAGCATAGCTGACTGCCTCTCCTGCACCCCAGCGGCAGCCCATGGAAGGATGTCCCCCATGCTCCCCAGCAGCCAGGCCTCACCTCTCGGTGCCCATCTTCAGCTCGCTGATCAGCCGTCGGAGCCCCATGACCTGCCTCCAGAGGAGGAGCAGGCGGCTGTGCTCTCTGCTGAAGTAGGCGTTGAAGGACTATGGAGACAGACACAAGAGGCCCTGGGGATACCGCTGCACTCCTGCCCGTGCCCCACAGCATGTCCTAGGGGACAACTAAGGGACCTAGATTGGCCTCCCAGCTATCAGGGTGTGACTGTGACCATGGGCTGATCCCTTAACTTTCTACATGACACAATGACAGCACTGCACATCATAGGGAATAGAGGCAACTGTGAACCTGGCCCAGGGCTTATGTAACCAAGGCCACTTCCCCCTTGACCGTGACCACTGGTATAGTGCTCACATGGACAGGGTTCCTGTACCCTCCAGACTTGATCCAACCAACCCTTTGCAAGGTCCCCCCACTATCACGCGATCCCACTGGTACCCCTTACCTCTTCCTCTCGCCTCCATGCCGCCTCTCTCTGGTCCAGCTCCTTGCAGCTGCGGGTCCAGTCACTGGTCACCTTGCGAATGTCCTCACTTAGAGTCTGGTTGGCCGAGTTTGCCTGGTCCAGCTGCTCTCTCAGCATGGCATTCACCTGGGCCAGGCTGGCACTTCTGTCAGAGGCAGAGCGGGGGAGCAGTGGGCACTTGCTCACTTGCCCAGGAGGCTGCCCACTGCCTGTGCCACACCCTCACCTTTGCTGCTCCTCCTCCAGACGCAGAAGGGCGCTGTCCAGGTCCTGGCTGTGTTCTGTGTCCTAGGTGAGGAAGAGAGGAGTCAGGACAGGCAGGAGGAGGGAGGCCTGTGTCTGCCCCAGCCTGGCACCCACCCTCAGGTGCTGCTGCTCCAGCTCCTCGGACTTCTCCAGCAGCTGCTTCTCCAGCTCGGAGCATTGTTTCTTGTACTGCAGAATCTGGCAATGTGCAGGAAGCGGTGTGAGCCCAGGGGTGAGGGCTGAGTAAAGCACAGTGAGGGCAGGGATGGGGTGGGCAGCCCTGACCTTGGCTTGCAGCCGCTGCACTAGCTGGGCTTGCCGCTGCTGGCCTTCCTGGTAGGCCTGCAGCTTGCGCCGGTAGGAGGCCTGCTCCTCCTGCAGCTGCCTCCGCAGCTCCACGCTCTGCCGCACCAGCCCCTTGGGCTCCTGTGCCTCCAGCTCCCCAGTCTCCAGCCGCACAGCCTGTTCCAGCTGCAGGGAAGGGCCCTGGGTGAGAGTCTTGTGCTTCAAGCAGGCCCAGGCCTGCTTCAGGAGACACCAGCCTGGGCTTAGACCCACAATGCCTTGTAAGCTGATAGCACTCCAAGGAAAAGTCACAGGCAGGTAGGCCCAGGATGCAGTGCACACGTGTGTGATACATGACATACAGATGGAGCAGGCATGGACACACACAGACAGGGCAATGCATAGGCATACAGAACATGGCACACAGATAGGACATGCTTGGCAGGCATGGGCTGGTGTGAGAGCAGATTGGACATGGTTAGACACAAAGGGCAGACATGGGTACACAGATGGGACATGGATACACAGGACAAGCACAGACACACAATGCCTAGGAATATATGTGGAGTGGGGATGGGCATACAGATGGGACATGCTTGGATATACAGGGCAGGAGTAGGCACACAAATTGAACATGCTTGGACATATAGGGAAGCAATGGGCACACAGATGGGACACGCTTGGATATATAGGACAGACAATGCAAACATGGGAATATATATGGGGTGGGCATGGACATACAGATTGAGCAGGTATGGATACACACACAGGCAGGCATAGGCACACAGAAGAAACAGGCAAGTACATGTGCAGATATGCCTATCATCCCATCTGCAAACGTATGCCCTAGAGGCAGACTGTGAAAGGACCCACCGTGCATTCTCTGCCTCTCCTTCAGAACACCACTATTGTTTATGCCTCAGTCTGCTGCCATGTCTCCCCAACCCTCTTCCTTCCCCGAGGCAAGCTCAGAAACCTGGATTTTTGTTCCCCATTGGATCTGGATACCTAGGACGTTGGATCGGCTCATGCCCGGGGAATATTTGAGACCAGTGAACTAACAATGTGAGTGCACAGTGAATCTGTTCAGAGCAGAGGTACCAACATGCATTAAGACCTGAGCTTACAGAGTACACATAAGGCACAAAGGCAGTCTCAAAGGTCCCAGAGTGACGCATGAGCCCCCAATAAACACAGGGCCTTAAGATCTGTATGTACCCCATCTAGCACTGCTTTGCCCCCTTTTATCCCCACCTCTCCCTCACCTCACAGGACCCTCCCCTGTCCAATTCCCTCCACTCCAGGTGTTATGCAGTGTTCCACCCTCAGATCCCATGAGGAGGCACATCCATTAGCCCTCAACCCTGTTCAGGTGCCTGATAGTCCTGGCTACTTTTCCTGGGGTCCCTCAGCTTCTAGCTGTTAGGGAAAGGGGTTGAGGAAGGAAGGACTGAAGATGAGCAGACTTAGGGTCGTGAACACACACCTGGGACTAAGGGCAAGCAATGGATGATCCCCAGCCTAGCTAACTGATGCCAACCCACACGTACCATCCATCTGCCAGGCACCCAGACTGACCAGTAGGGCCCTCAAACACACACACATGTGTGGGGCCATTAGTCACAGGGAAGCCAACAGGAGGAAGGGCTTTTCTTACCCACACTAACCTAGGGTCCAGTAAGATCAGTGGCCCTCCAGGCCTGCACTAGCTCAGCTCAGTGTACCTGGTGGATGCTCTCAGCAAAACTGGTGGGTGAGATGGCTGTGCCGATTGGGATGACACCTCCAGGGAGGAGTGGGCACAGCCACATGGGGGTGGGAGCTGTACTGTGAGGTGAAGAACACGGGCTAAGGTAGCTAAGGGAGGTGGCAATAGGAACTTTCCCTGAGTCTGTGGCAAATGGTTACATACAGCCCAGGTAAGTAGAAGTGGACAGGGTCCATATCTATCACATAGCCCTGAGATATGTGTGTATCAACAAGTGTGCCTCACAGACAGTAGGGTGTGGTTAGCTGTGTCTTCACACGGGACCCTGCGTGATGCCTTGGATGCCTGGGTGCATGCTGACATCTGGTGTCAGGGCCTTTTCATGCTATAGGATGAGGTGCATCTGAACATGATCTATAGGGTGATGCAGGCATTGTGTCTGTATGTTCCAGAGAGGTGTGGGCATGATGTAAACTGGGGGCCTGAGGAGGACAGTCTGGGTTCCTTGGGTGACAGGTGACGATAGTGACTGCACTTGTGTGTATGTAAGTGCATTTCTGGGCTGACAGATGCCTCTTGCTGGCTTCTGTCCTTTTCCTGTTTGTGTGCAGCCAGGAGATGCACAGAGTGCATTGTGCAGTCAGTTACTATATATGTGTGTATGGAGGTTACTGTATGTGTGTGTGCTGGTTACTATATATGTGTGTGTGTGCGTGTGTAGGCTACTGTATGCAGAGGTGCTGCGATTGTTTACTAGGCTATCACTCTGTGCCAGGGCAGGACTGTGAGTCTGTGAGTCTGAGTGTAGCCACAGGGTAGATTTGTTTCTATGTGTTGTGTTCTATGTGGAGTCTATTTGTGGCCTGCATTATATGTGTTTTGCACATCTGTGTGACCCCAGTGCTATTGGCTTCTGTGGTGTGGAGGGATTTGGCCAATTACTAGAGACTTTACCCATTTCCCCAGTGCTCAGTGCCAGGCTACTGTAGGCCATACCTCACTCTCTCCATAAACTCTGCCCTTTACAAAACAGCTTTTCGATGTGACTTGCAATTCCAATGGAAAAGAGGCTGCCACAGAATGGATGAAAATAGTTTACTGTCTCCCTTAGCAACTGCTACTCTCCTGCCCCATTAAACCCACTAAGCCCAGGTTGCCATGGACACTGAGGGGAACCCAGGGAATCTGTTCTCTAGAGCCAAGGGATAAAGCCACTGCCTCTTTCCCACCTACCTTGCCCTACTCCTATTTCTTGGAAGATACTGAGGTACATTATGACTAGGGAGGTGGCTGCTGGGAGTCCTGACTCAGTTTCTCCACAGGACATCCAATGAAGAGAGCTTCACTCCCTATCCAGGGGGATGTGGGGTTTGAAGGATGAGAACAACTTCACTAACTGTCCTCAACCTAGTCCACCATGCCAGTGTGGCCACACTGGCCACACTGCAGGCACAGGTTAAAGTGAGTACCAGGGAATATGTCATATAACCGCAGCCCTGGGCCAGTGGTCCCTTCCCAGCTTCACCAATGACCTTGGGCCTAGCATGCTCCTCTGTAGACCTCAGTTTCTCCATCTGTGGTAAGGTGATTGCTGGGCTCTTATGCTCTCTGTGGACCCTCCCCCTCCAGGAAAGGTCATTTTCATCCAGTCCCTGCCTCCAGGTGGGGTCTTACCCAAACTGGCTCAACACAGGGCAATTAAAACTCCAGGCAATTTGTGCCAACATACGAGGGAAAGGTCTAGACAGGCACAGCCCCTCAGTTCCCACTGCAGATCCTCCGGCAGCTGTGTCCCAGAAGAGAAGGGACCTGCCACCCCCCACCTCTCCTTCCCTTCCTTGTCAATCAGGGAGCAAAGTAAGCTTCAGTTGCTGAAGCTGGCATCTAAGAGTCAGTCCCCAGGGGACTGGCGCTATGCCCTGGGCCAAGAAGTGTCTAACCAGCTGATGCTGGCCCATCAATAGTACCAATCCAGTACTCCTGCCACCCTATCTCTGCACCTCCTGTAGACTCCAAGAAATTAATTCTGTAGTGTCCTCAAAGCTAGGGGACCACCATGGGGCCCCCATTCTGCTCCTTGGCAAGCCCCAACAAGTCAGAGTCTTGTTTGAGCAGGCAATACCAGGACACACTCCACAATCAGAGGGTGTACAGAAATGCACGCAGGACAATACACAGGGATCCATACAGACAGAGCTTCCCACTAGCACACAACAGATGCTATAGGAGCCAGCAGCATCTCTGCACACCCCCAAAACAAAGGCAATATTATAGTCCTGGTCTGGGGACCAGGACACTAGGCTGCTTATCTTAACTGGCAGGGTGCTTTCCCTCTCTGGGCCTCTATTTTCTCCTTGGTTAAATGGATATTAAATGGTACAAACTTTGGTACATTAAATATAAAGGACTCATTATATTTCTGGCACATAGGCATTCCATAAATGTTAGGTACATTTTTTGTTTTGTTTTGTTGTTTTTCAGACAGGGTTTCTCTGTGAAGCTCTGGCTGTCCTGGAACTCACTCTGTAGACCAGGCTGACCTCAAACTCACAAAGATTTGCCTGTCTCTGCCTCCCGCATGCTGGGATTAAAGGCGTGCACCACCTTGCTTGGCCAGTGGTAGCTACTATTATAACCATTATCCTCACCCATCTGCACACACACTCCATCCTTCACCCAACTCTTCTCAACCTTCTGCCACCACCAACTCTACCAATTCCCCAAGGTCACCAGGGCCTCAAGGCCATTCCAGCTGGCAGAGCTGCAGTCTGAACTAGATGGCCATCCTTACATAGTCAGTGGGCTTGGTCAGGACATCCCTCTACCCCAGTCAGGCCTGGCCCCACAGCACCCACCCTCTCACTGACGGCATTGTACTTGATAGCAAGCTCATCACGCTCGGCACGGCTCTGGGCCAGCAGGTCCTCCACACGGGACAGCTCCTGCTGCAGTAGCTGGTTCTCATCCTGCAGTGACAGCAGTGAAGCCATCTGTGGGACCTGGAGAGGGGCTGCAAAGGGACAAGGAGCTGAGGTTGATTTTTGTCTAATGCAGAAGGGCACTGACCCAAACAGGAATTCTACTCATTCCTGGGACAAGATGATGGGCCTGGGCCCTGGGAGGACCCTGGGTGTGTGTGGCTACAGCACCTGGGGACCAAGACAGCTGAGTATCAGGAAGGCTGGCAAGAGAAGACAAGAGCTAGAGCTCTGTAGAAACAACTACAGCCCATGTAGCCACATCCAGTCAAGAGAATGTCTTTCTGTATCTACCCACCCAGGGCCTCTATTTTACTCATCTGTTAAATGGGTAGAACAGTAATCAGACCATGCCAGGAAAGTGGTTAAGCCTCACTCAAACTCAGGGCTTCTCATAGCTTGGCTTTGTTTCCTTGTGGTTTTATTTGTTTTGTTTTGGGTTTTTGTGGGGGGCGTTGGAGACAGGGTTTCTCTGTGGAACAGTCCTGGCTGTCCTGGCACTCTCTCTGTAGACTAGGCTGGCCTCGAACTCAGAGATCTGCCTGCCTCTGCCACCTGGGTGTTGGGATTAAAGGCGTGCACCACCATCACCCAGCTTGTTTCCTTTGTTTGTTTGTTTGTTTGTTTAGGTAATGTAGCCTGTGTAGCCTAGGCTGGTATGGAACCCATGATCCTTTCCCTCTGCCCCTTGAGTGCTGAGATTTTAGACTATCATGCCCAGTTCTCTCATAACCAGGATTTAAGACATCAGAGATCAGCTAGTGAAGAGGAATAAGAGGCGTAAAGGCCAGAAGAGAAACCCACCTGAGTGGGCTCTACTTTGACCTTGAAGAACATGAATACACACTGTAGGCCTTCTAGCTTGGAGTGGTTCATTACGCCTCCCCAGTTCTTGGGAGACTCAGCATCCCTGGTCCACTCAGAAGGACCTCTCAGCCCTGATCTGTGATCTGAACCAGACTGTAGCAGGGATACAAAAAAAAATACCAGCAGAACAGCTGCCAGCACTCCACACCACCAACTAACCAGGCCCAGGCAGGCTGCAGGACCAGGGCATGCATGCCACATACCAGGAGCAACTGCAGCCATCGGCTTTTGTGCACAAGCCATCAGACCTTTGCAGAAGCCTGGTCCGAACTGAGCTGCCTCACTGTGTAATCTCAGCCTCCAGACAGTTCACACCATCCCTGGTAGGAAATGCAGTATTTGGTGTTCAAACCTGAAGCAATGAGCAGGGAGGGTTTACCCTGACTTCTCCTCTAGCTGTGCCTCATGGGGAATAAATATAATAATGTGAGGCAAATTGCATCTCAGTCTCCCATTTCCTCCTCTGTGAAGTAGATCCATTCATCACAGAGCTGTGCCTATCTCCCTGTGTGTATTCAATAAGTAGAGGCAGGGCTGGGGACAATAGCACTTGCTACCTAAGATTATCAAAGTTCAAATCCCAGCACCCATGACCAAAGCTGGGTATGGCCCCTCAGGCACCTGTAATCCAAGAGACAGGAGAATCAGCAGCAGAACTTGGTGGCTGCCAGCCTAGCTCCAGATTGAGTGAGAGACTTTGCTGTAATGGAATAGGTAGAGAGTGATAATGCAGGAACCCAGTGCCCTTGGCTCATAGGAAACACATCTGCACACATGTATGCATAAGACAGAGAGAGAGAGAGAGAGAGAGAGAGAGAGAGAGAGAGAGAGCGCACCACCTGTATCATCTATTGCAGCTGAGAATTAAAGTGAGAAGAAGGGACTCTGGACAGGGTAGGGAGGTGGCACCTGGGCTCTCAGGCTGAGAGAGGTTTCGGGTGATGATCTGCCTAATACAGACTGGCAGGCTGGCACCCTGGGAGTCCTGGGCTGGGCTCTGCACACTCAGCCTCTTCTCTTGGTCTGGTCTCAGGACACAGTTCTCCAGTGTCTGTGGGAGGAGAGCATTTGGGCAAGTCCTGTGGCCCAAGTCCTAGAGAACTCAGGAGATGAACCTGATGCCTGAAGGGAGGGTAAACTGCAAAGAGCTCCTGCTAGGAGTCTCTCCTAGATCTGTCTGTGCTCTAGGCAAGACCTAAAGGCTTAAACCAACGCCACCATAGCTCAGGCACCACACTGGAGGCAGCATAGGATGTTGGGGGCTCCAGTCCAGCTCCCACCATAGGTAAGGAGGATTTTGCTGTGCCAGAGACCAGTAATCCCTAAAATCCGTGAGGGGCCCTTCCCCCACTACTCTACACTGGGATTAGGGAGTTTTAGCCGGCGGCCAGTGTGGCCCCAGGAGCTGCAAGTTGCTGCCCCTGTATACCAGCTCCACACCTCCCTCCGCTCACACACCTTTCACTGCCCCTATTAGGTCAGTTATCCTGCTCTGCCCCGCCCTGGACACGATAGACACAGCATTCAGGACCCACCTCGATCGCAATCTCCAATGCCAGCTGGGGCTGCAGGGATTCTGCCAGCCCTAGGTTCTCGGAGGGGGGGGTCTGTGGGTACCCCACAGCCCCCCTCCCCAAAATACCAAGATCAGCTGAGCAACGCACCAACACACTAACACACTCTAACACCAGGCTGCAGGGTTGATCGCCCAGCAGATTAAGTTTAAATCCGGTGTTGCCCCCACGTGACCAAGCAGGGGTGGGAGGGGCTCAGATGGAGAGGAGGAGAAAGAGCAGAGGGAAGCAGAGATACAAGAGGAATGGGCAGAAGCAGCCACGGGGCCCAGTCAGCACACAGGCAAGAAGAGAGCCAGCAAAGGAGGCAAAGAGGGAACCGTGAAGGGAAGCTGGGAAGGGAGGGCTCAGTATTTCCCCCACACCCTCCACACTCTCCAGACTGTGGGTCCTGGAATCTTCCAAGCCCAGCTGCGGGAGGCGGGGAAAGGCCAGAGTCCCTACAAGCATCTTCTGTGACCCGGAACGGGCTCATGTGGTTTGTTCAGAAAATATTCACAGCCTACTGGGCAGATGTTTGTGCACTATAGGTTAGAAGCAAAGAAACCAGGGGCTCAGACAACACTAGGAACAGAGCCCTTCCAAGCCCCACTCGGGGCTATGTCCCAGCATCCTCCTGTTTAAGAACTGATGCTGTTGGTGCTTGCTTGAGCTGTCTGGAACAAAAGCATCAGCAGCACACAGCAGGGTGCCGGTTCACTCCAGGAACACTGGGTAAACAATGTTTTCACTCATTGGAAAATTCGACATGCACAGTCCTTGGGCTAAGAACAGTTTCCCTCCCTGCAGCAAGGAGGTTGTGTGGCACACTGGTTAGAGCCTAGAGTTGCCAGCACCATGTGTTAGCAGTATGACCCTGAACAAATTACTTCTCAGCTGTTTCCTCCTCTGTAAGCAGGAAGAGGGTCACTATGGGGATTAAAATGTGCAGAAAGCAGGGAGGGCTCCAGAACACACAAAGCAAGGTGGGAGAAGTCACAGCTCACATTAACACCACCTGCTGGCTCCTATTCTCCAGGTCCCTGTATTCTAGGGCAGGTCCACTTGAGCTCCTCAAATCCTCATATAAGCCCATTTCCGGATGAGCAAAACAAGGCTCAGAGGCATGGGGGTGGGGTCTCACCTATTCAAGGTGACAGGCTGTGCAGAAGTGTAAACCTAAAGCAAAGCCCACTTAGACCAAGCAGCCTCCCCAAAATGCCTGAAGGGCAAGGCCAGGTCTCTTGCTCTTCAAGACCTGTGGCTGTACCCAGGTCAGACCCAGGGACACAGTGGGTGCTACATAAATGCACATCAGTCCAGACTGGATCTCTCCTTCACAACTAAGGAATCTGTCCTGCAAATGCAAATGCAGGAAACAAGGTACACCAGATCAAGAAGCTAAGTGCCACCAAGCTGCTATGACAGACATTTGGATTTCAGCAAAATAAAGCTATGAGCAGAGAGCTGCTACTCAGCCCTGCCCTGCATCCAAAGAGCCAGCACAGCGCTCCTCTAGGCTGTGACACCCATAACCCGGGTAGCATTGATCACCCAGGGCCAGGATGTCTAGCCCCTAGATGCCCAGTTCAACACAGATGAGGTCACAGATATGCTTGGAGAATGGAACAGAATTATTCTGTGTCTCCCACAGTGGCAGGACCTTGGACACTGGGTAATACCAACCCTTGGCTCTACCAACAATTCTCCCCTATGGATCCTGAGACAGCATTGATAAACTGTGGGTGTGCACTGCCCTGATATCTGCAGCTTCTTTCCAAGTCTCAGGTAGGCAGACTAGAAGGAGGGAGGTGGGGAGGCAGGTAGGCAAGGAGGGAGGGAGGGACGAAGGAAGGAAGAGGCCCACCAAATTCGTCATAGGAATCTGGAATCTAATTGTTATGGTATCACCTGCTGGGGTTCTAATGTGGTTTGTCCCTTCCCAAACTCATGGTGAAATCTGTTCCCCATTGTAACAGTTGAGATGTGAAGGGACCTTTAAGAGGGGATTAGGTCAGAGGAATTAATGCCTTTCTCAACACTGTAGTTTACTTATATCACAAATGTGGGTTGAGGCCAGGCGTAGTGGTTCAGGTCTGTAATACCAGCTCTTTGGAAGTAAAAGGAGAAGGATCTTGTGTTTGAGGCTAATCTGGGCTACATTAAGAGAGATGGTGCAACAGTTAAGAACACTGGCTGCTCTTCTAGAGGACCTGTATTCAATTTCCAGAACTAACCCAACTACAGTTCCAAGGGGATCTGATGCCTTCTGAAGGCACCAGGCAAGCATATGTTATGCAGACATGTATGCATGCAAACAAAACACTCACACACATTAAATAAAATAGAGAAATCTAAAGGGGGTTGGTTCAGCAGGCAAAGCACTTCCCACCAAAGCATAGCATCCTGATCCCTGGCACCTATGTGAATTCAGGGTGGGTGTGCTGTCAAAGTTGACACAAAACTACCTGTCAACCTTGACACAAAACTACCTGAAAGAAGAGACCTTCAATTGAGAAGATGCCTTCACAAGATATATATGGTATTTTCTTAGTGATTGACATGGGAGGGCCCAGACCATTGTAGGTGGAGCCATCCCTAGGCTGGTGGTCCTGGGTTCTATAAAAAAGCAGGCTGAGCAAGCCATGAGGAGCAAGTCAGTAAGCAGCACCCCTCCATGGTCTCTGCAACAGCTCCTGCCTCCAGGTTCCAGCCCTGCTTGAGTTCCTTTTCCAGTTTCTTTCAGTGATGGACTGTGGGTGTGGAAGTGTAAGCCAAATAAACTGCTTCCTCCCCAGGTTGCTTTGGTCATAGTGACAGTAACAGCAATAGTAACCCTGACTAAGACAGCAGGTTTCGCTGCTCACCTGTAATCCCAGCACTCAGAAGGCAGAGACAGGAAATCCTCAGATCAAGCCAAATTCCTGAGCTCTGCATCAGCAGGAGACCCTGCCTCAATATATTACATGAAAAGTGACTGACATCAACCTCTGGTGCACCCACACATATGTGAATACACACGCACACACACACACACACACACACACACACACACACATGTAGAAATTTTTTAATAAAAAGTTGTTGTAGGTTGAGCTCAGACCCCTTGCTCTCTTGCTTTCCCACAGCATTGGTAACATGAGGTCTTTGTCAGATATGGCCATCCATGAAACGCCTATCTTTCATCATAATGAATGAATGAGCACTTTCATTTATAAATTGCCTAGTCTTAGGGCTGGGAGTGTGGCTCAGTGGTTAAGAGCACTTGCTGCTCTTTCAGGACACCTGGGCTTTGTTTCCAGCACCCACACAGCAGCTCTGTCTCTAACTCTAGTTCCAAGGGATCTGGAACTCTCTTCTGGCCTCTGTGAGCAACAGGCACACACACAGTACACATACAAACATGTAGGCAAACTGTCATACAAGTAAAATAAAAATAAATAATCTTAAAAAGGAAAAGAAACCTATCCAGTGTTGTGATTTCTATGTAGCAACATAAGTGAACTCTGGCCTGGCTGGGCAGTGGTGGTGCACGACTTTAATCCCAGCACTTGGGAGGCAGAGGCAGGTAGATCTCTGTGATTTCAAGGCCAGCCTGGTCTATAAAGTGAGTTCCAGGATAGCCAGACTGTTTCACAAAGAAACCCTGTCTCAAAAAAAAAAAAAAAAAAAAAAAAAAAGTGAACTTTGACAGCAAGTAACTACCTTAACTCTAATCTTAGGCAGGCCTCCTCATGAGCTTGGTCACCTTATACCAGTGACATCACCCCTCTTCACCCTCAGGCTGTTTTCTTTTCTGTAGAATAGGATGCTAGTGTGCCTGTTTGGACCAGGAAGGTGAAATAAACTGTGCACCAGGATACATATGCCAGTAACTGTGGCCAGATATGGCCACGTAGTCTAGTGCTACCCAACAGAATTAAGACAGAGAGAATGTGTCACTTTGGAGTAACCCATAAAATCTTCCCTAAGGAACTGCTTCTTAGCCGGGTGTTGGTGGCGCACACCTTTAGTCCCAGCACTCAGGAGGCAGAGGCAGGCGGATCTCTGTGAGTTTGAGGCCAGCCTGGTCTACAGAGTGAGTTCCAGGAGAGGCCCCAAAGCAATACAGAGAAATCCCTTCTCTAACAAACAAAACAAAAACCCTGCTTCTTTCCTCCCATTGTCAACTGGAAGGAAATAACTCTGGGTCCCAGAAGATGCCAGAACCACAAGATGGAAGGCTTTGGGTCCTTGGCTCACTCCATAGAAAGCCACCTGCCAAACACCACGCAGGATATTGTTTGTAAACATCTCTTGTGTTAACCTCTGAGGTGTCATGGTCACATGACTCCATGACTTAGTGTAACCGTAATTGCTCTTGCAGTTAAATAGGACAGATGTTGCCTATTCTTGTGGCTGTCATACCGTTCTTCCCATTCTTCATGTCACCGGTAGTCACCGGCTCTCCCTGGTGTCCATCTAGGCTTGGTGCCTCACTTCCTGACCCTCAGCAGAGCCTTTGCCCTCGTTCCC